CAGAGGGTATCATTTTGCTGTGGTGTGTGCGCTCAGTCGTGTCTGACTCTTTGCAACCCCACGGACTGGAGCCCGCCAGGTTCTTCTGTCCATGGAATTTTCTGGGCAAGAATACAGAAGTGGGTTGCTATTTCCTTCTCCAGGGGATCTTCCTGGCCCAGGGATCGAAACTGTCTCTGGCCTCTCCTGCATTGGCAAATGGATTCTTTACCCCTAGTGCCGTCTGGGAAGACCATGACTTTGGTAATTGTGGCCTATTCAGAAAATCACCCTCAGACTCTTGCATCAGTTATATCTTGCCCACTTGCCTTCGTGCCTGAGAAATTAAGAGGTTCTGCCAATGGATAAGCAGTTGACTAAGACAATCCTTCGGGTAGGGGGTTGTGTGTGAAGGTGAGGGAAAGGGAGTGAAGCGGGAGGAGATCCTCCAAAGATGAAGAGACAACCTAGGAGAACAGCTTTTGTTCAGCATGAAAAAGGATCACCATTGAGCCCTTCAACTTAGCATTGTGTTCAAGTCCTGGGACCGCAGCTGAGCCATTGTACCTACTTATACATTCTGGTCCCAACCAGGCAGTGGGACGTTCTGAAGAAACAGGCATAATCAGTCGGATGTATAGCAATGTGGTTGTGCCTTTAATGAATGTGCAGAGGCTGTGCGGATCAATTGTCCATTTGATTAATTCCTCTGGCAGGAGAGAATTAAATGTACTTAAGCGATACACCAGCAAAAGCTCAATGCTCTTTAAAATGCAATTTTCTGGGTGGAGGCCAATTTTTTTTTCCTGGCCAAGACATTTCTTGAGATAATAATGGAAGTCAATGAGAAAATGGAATTTGCCGTATAAATATGCACTCCACACTAGAACAGCGTCTCACGTGCAGAACAAGGTCAAGCTCTGTACACTATTCACCGTTCTTTGCAGCAAATCTTCCTTTTAAGTTCCTATTTGCATTCTTCCACAGGAGAGGTAATAATGCCTATTTTGGAAATAATTCATTGTCCAAACTTTACCCCGTCCCTCTAGGAGGCATTCAGCATTAGAGTACTAGAGATCTCTAACTCCAAAAGAGGCAATCATTTCCTTCAAATCATGGGCAGGTGTGAAGACCCAGGGAAAAGGAAAGTCGTGTACCTTTTATTACTTGGAATAATGTCTGATGTGCCAGGGGAGAGGAAGGAAATACTCTGAATGGTATGGGAAGCTGAATGTGTCAACCCAGGTCTCAGAAATCATTTCACTGCTTTTACACAGGGAATATTTCTCAAATGCCTGTTATTTGCTGGACATGATGTTGGGTCCTGGGGCACCATGGAGCAGTGAGCCAATCAAAGTCAATGCTTTTGTAGAACATATAGTCCAAAGCGAGAGACAGACATTAATCAAGTTTCTCAAACATATAATAGCTTCACTTCTCTGCTCTGAGTGATATAAATTCCCAAACTATTAGCTCATAGTCCAAGGCAGGCAAAACAGCTCACCGTCAGAGAGAATGCCCTTCTGGATGCCCTTTCTGTTTAGGACAGGTGTCTTGCTGAGAATCAGCACAAAGGCAAAGACATGTGAGAGGGTCCCCTGTGAATAAAACTCCAAGTGGGAAAGCTTTTCCCTGAACTCACAGCAAATGAGCCCCTCCAGCTGATCGTGATCCAGTGAAACCCTAGTAAAAGCCCTGAGACACCCGAACCCTCAGAGTCGCTGCTGCCTTTACTGCTCAGGTGCAGAGAAATTTGCCTCTCCCTCTGAACTGATGCTGCCTGCCTTTTGTCCTCAGCTGGGGCAGGGAGCAGGGTGGGTGCCCAGCTGAGAGCAGGAGAGAGCATAGTGCCTGCTTCTTCTTTGGGAGCCAAGGCATAGGTGGAGTCCCATGTGGACCCCTCCTTTGAGTCAATCCCCCCTCCCCAATTCTATCACTCTTATGATCTGGGTTCTCAACAATCAACCATCATTCATTCACCAAGATATGATAATTCAACATCTACTAGGTGTTGGTTCAAATAGCAACAGATGAGACAAAGATCTCCTAAAGGAAAAAGTGTACATTCCAAAGGGGACTGTTGCCAATAAACCAGACGGCAAGTTCATTTCAGAATGTGGGAGATGTTGAAAAGTGAAAGTGAAAGTTGCTCAGTAGTGTCTGACTCTTTGTGACCCCACGCACTATGCAATCCATGGAATTCTCCAGGCCCAGAATACTGGAGTGGGTAGCCTTTCCCTTCTCCAGGGGATCTTCTCAACCCAGGAATCAAACTGGGTCTCCTGCATTGCAGGCAGATTCTTTATCAGCTGAGCTACTAGGGAAGCCCTTAGGGAGAGGATAAATGGGGGAATCCATAATGTTATTTATGTGTGTATGGGTATGTGTGTGTGTGTGCCTGTGTTTGAGAGGTGGGAGAGGTTGTCTTTTAGAAAGAGTGATCATGGAAGGTCTCCTCAGAGTGAAGAGCAGAACAAGAAAGGATGAGAGGGTGACAGTGGAACAGAAAGCGTGGGGAAGAGCAGTCCAGACAGAAGGGACCACACGTGTTCAAGGCTGTACCTTGAAATGAACTTAAAGGGATCAAGGAACACAGAGGAGGCCAGTGTGGCTGGACTGCAGGGTGTGAGGCATCAAGGTGGTTGGCAGGAATTACTATGTTCTGCAAGGAATTCATAGTTTAGTCTAAATGCAGTGGGGAGCACCCAGAGACAGTGATGTGACCTCTATAGGCTCCCATGAAACAGAGAGATGCAAGAGTAAATGAATGAGTGGTTTGAGTGGGACTCTGGGTGGAAGATGAATTTAAAAAATGAAAAGCATGAGGGGGCGGGGGGAGATAGACCAGAAGGTTTTCTTCTATAGATCATGCTGGGACCTCCAGTGACTGTGAAGTTCCCACACCCCTATTTATTCCATGAGCAGAGTGATTACAATTTCACTAATTGCTATTTGGAAATATATCTGAGGATTTAGCCAGAATACAGGTGATAATACTTAAAATAGGCAGAGAGAAAATTAAGTAAAAGAGGGCACAGATTCTATTTGGCCACTTTAACCATCATAATTTACGACCATGTCTTCATTACCTACAGGTCGCTTATTCTGGGTGAGCCAGTGACTCAGATATGCAGGTCCTTTTGCAGAAGAAGAGATTTAATGTTCAGTGGAATTATGAGGGGAAAGGGCACCAGCATTTAACAGAATTTATAGAAATCTCTGCAGAATTAATATACCATTTCTTACATGGATCATGACCTTATCTCCCTGTCCTCTCTCTCCTTTGCCCACATTCTTTTGTCAGATGAATCTTTATAAAATAAGTTTTCATCCTTTTTTACTCCTCTGATGAAAAAGTTTCAATAGTTAATCACTCCTTACTGGATAAAAAAAAATATGATTTTCACATTTCACAGTTAGACTCTTACCCATCTTACCAGGCTCATTCCTGACTACTTCCTCCAAAGTCCCTCTTCCAAGAACATGCCTTGAATTTTCCCATATCCACATCTTTGCCCACAAAACTCCAACCAGAATGCTGATCAGTAGTCCTTCACCTTTGGGACATCCCAGACCACTTTAACAACTAATGAATGCTATAGATCCAACTCATGGCAAAAGGAGAATGGGGGAGGTGACAGAAGACGAGATGGTTAGATAGCATCACCGACTCAATGGATATGAATTTGAGCAAACTCTGGGAAACAGTGGACGACAGGGGAGCCTGTCACGCTGCAGTCCATGGGGTCACAATGAGCCGGACGTGACTGAGCGACTGAACGACAACAATGTATCTTTTCAATAGAAAGGGTGACACGTGCACAGCTTTCTGTACAATTTCATGGATACCCTGTCAGTCATCCTACAACGAACGGAAATCCTATCAGAGTCCTACACACCGTTCAGGGCCCAGATCAGATACTGCTCTTCCCTGATGCGTTCCTGGTCCTCTTCTTCCTGCAGTGGTTGAGACTCTCTGTGCTCAGACATCACTTACTTGGAAGTTTGTAGGGAATGGGGCTTTGTGCCCTATTCTGTACTATGGCCTTGCATGTTTTCCCTGTGCTATTTATTTCAATCAGTTCAGTCACTCAGTCGTGTCTGGCTCTTTGCGACCCCATGGATTGCAGCCCACCAGGCTTCCCTGTCCTTTACTATCTCCGAGTTTGTTCAAATTCATGTCCATCGAGTCAGTGATGCCATCCAACCATCTCATCTTCTGTCGTCTCCTTCTCCTCCTGCCTTCAATCTTTCCCACCATCAGGGTCTTTTCCAGTGAGTCAGTTTTCCTCATCAGGTAGCCAGAGTATTGAAACTTCAGCTTCAGCATCAGTCCTTCCAATGACTATTCAGGACTGATTTCTTTAGGGATTTGACTGATTTGATCACCTTGCTGTCCAAGGGACTCTCAAGAGTCTTCTCCAACACCACAGTTCAAATGCATCAATTCTTCAGCATGATTTTTTTAAACTTTTGTTTTTTATGGTCATGCAGTGCAACATGCAGAATCATAGTTCGCCAATCAGGGATCGAACCTGAGCCCCCTTCATTGGCAGCACAGAGTCCCAACTACTGGACCACCAGGGAAATCCTTCCCTTTATACTTCTGAAATTTTTATCTACACATGTCTTATTTCCCTCAATAAAACTGGAGTTTAAGTTTCAGTGATCTCTGCATTTCCAGGGATTATTAGTCCACCTGGCATAACCACTGAGCCCATGCGCTCCGGAGCCTGTGTGCCAAAACTAGAGAATCTGTGCACTACAACGAAAGATCCTGCATGCCACAACTAAGACCCAAGGCAACCCAATGAATAAATGTTAAAACACAACCATGGCTCACTGATTTGCTCTGGGGTTTGCTCTGATAAGGGTTCTGCCCTATGCCGTTTCAGTTTATTTTACATCTGTTGGGTGAAGCCTGGCCCTCCCCCTGCAGCCTGTGGACATATAGCAAGTGCTATATGGTGAGAGCCAGACAGCAGAAGGCTCCTCCATCAGTGGCTGATGCTAGTGCTCACCTGTCTGTCAAAGGCGTGATCACCAGGCGAGGGGTATTTCCCAGGTACTCATAGGAGTAGAGAAACTGGGCATCACAGATGTCGGCGAAGCAGTGTTTGGCCTCGTCGTCCCATCGATGCCTTAGCTGGGACAGCCAGAGGAAGGCCTGGGCGCTATCGACCTAGAGAGAGAGTGGCAGAGTAGGTTGGCGAATCCGAGATTCAGCAGGTAGGAGGTGGCCCCGCGGCCGCAGAATTCGCAGGGCTCGGGGTGACCCGGGTGCTGTGCACCGTTCAGGGGAGCAGCACAGAAAGCACAAGCCACTTGGATGATGCTCTTTTGCTGGGGGTTTAAAGGGAGGAGCAGCCACCTTGGTCCTCTCCCAGATCCCTGACTGGTGCAGAGTTTGGGGCCCCTGTGTTTTGGCCACATGTAAGCTTCTCCCAAACCCCAATACTTGTGGTATAGGTACCCACAAAGAGCGGTACTCTTGACAGTCTGGGACTCACCTTCTGAGCAATCATCTTGGCCACCACGTCCCGGGCATGGACATCGATGGTGCATATGGTCATGATCTTCTGCCGGTCCCCCTTGGAGAGCTGGCCAATGAGCATGGTGATGAGTGTTTTGAGCTGGGCCACTTGCTTCTTGTAATAGTCCTTCATGGCATTCTCATAGCCTTCCTCCAGCCTTGCAAATGCCATTCCCACCTCTGTGGTCCACCAGATCTGGGTACAGGTCAGGGCTACCTATGGCACCAAGAGTTGCTTAGTAAAGCCATTACCAGGACTGTCTCTCAAACCAGCCCACTCTCACACAGCAGGGGCTGAGAATATAATTGTGTAGGTGATGGACATCCGTTCCTTCCCTCTTCCACCAGCACTATTCCCTTGAACATGTGTTTCTAAGTCCTCGGAGATATAAAGTGGGTACAATACAACTGGGGAGAGTCCTTTCTTGAAAAATGTACCATTTGGTTGAGAACAGCTAAAGGCTCATTCAGGTCAATGTCAGTAGCTTTTAGAAATTGCTACACTGATCTTTCTGTTTTTGCTTCTCAGGTCACAGCAACTTTCCTGTGCCTGGGAGGATAACAGTCTTGATTGGCCATCTCAATGATACTCAGTCTTTGCTCTGTTCTTCTGGAACCCCTTACAGTTGAAGTATTCTAGTTGAGTGAGCCACTGCTGATTATGTGTGGCAGATTTCTTCTTGCCCATAGTATTTATACTATATCTTTAAAAATCTCTTCAAACTTATAACTTTGAAAAGCCTGCTCTTTCTTTTAAATTGGAGTCTGACTGCTTTACAACATGTGTTAGTCTCTGCTGTACAGTGAAGTCAATCATCAGTTATATGCATACATATATCTCCTCCATCTTGGACCCCACATCCCACCCATCTCGGTCGTCACAGAGCCCAGGGCTGATCTCCCTGTGCTATCCAGTGGCTTCCCACTAGCTGCTTATTTTACACATGGCAGTGCATACATGTCAATCCTAACCTCCCCATTCATCCCACTCTCCCCTTCCGGCCCTGTGTCCATGTGTCCATTCTTAACATCTGTGTCTCTAACTTTGAAAGGTCTACTCTTCTCAGGTCAGGAGAATGACACTGAAATTCAGTGCCGTCACTTTGATTTGTTGGAGAAGGAAATGGCAACCCACTCCAGTATTCTTACCTAAAAAAAAATCCCACGGACAAAGGAGCCTGGTGGGCTATGGTCTATGGGGTTGCAGAGAGTTGGACACGACGGAGCCACCAATCAACACCACCACTTTGATGTGTATTCTTCAGAGATTCAAAATAAGTACATGGAAAAAGTGATTTAATGAACCTTTCTTCTGCTTGCTGAGAAGCAGAAGATTTAATAGGGAAAATGCATAATTTTCATTCTGCATGGTGAAGAACTTAGAGACACTGATCCTCTGTGGTCCCCCTTGGCTCAGGAGACACTGCTCTAGATGAATCTGTCAGAATGCAGGAAGAAACACATTTTCTTGCCTCAAAATTCTGATTCAGGCAAACAAGGAATCCTGGTGGGAATTATTCACTTCGTGAAGCAGAGAATTCTGCTATAGTAAAAAGTACCATTATTGAATTTACCTGTTTTTTTTTTTGCCTTTGGATTTAGACACATTGGATTTTTTTAGAGGCTCCTCCTACAGTGTGATCTTGTCAGAATGGTCTGAATGTGATGTGCAGTTATATTTGCGACTCCTGTAGCAAACCAGGTTCCTCTGTCCGTGGGGTTTCCCAGGCAAGGATACTGGAGTGGGTTGGCATCTCCTTCTCCTGGGGATCTTCCCGACCAGGGATTGAACCCACGTCTCCTGCTTGGCAGGTGGGTTCTTTACCACTAGTGCCACCTGGAAGGCCCCTTCACTTCTGCGGCACTGGCTTATTTCTCTGCTCTGTCTACACTCACTGTCAACATTTTCCCCCTTCTCCTCCCTTCTCAACTACTGGCAGTGTGAGCTCTTCTCTACCACTTCACTGAGATGGCCTCACCAAGGTCATGGACGTTTCTTAGCCTCTTTCCTTTGCTTGACCTCTTAGACATGTGTGGCATAACTGACCTCTCACCTGCTATCAACGTCTTCTGTTTTAGTTTCCGTGATTACCATTGCCAGGTGTTCCTTCTCTCAGAAAAGGTTCTGTTTCTCATTCTGCTGTCCTGGTTTCTCTCTGACTATGCAGCCTTTGGATGATGCTCGTGGGTTTGATCTGAAGCCTCAGCTCAGTCTACACAATCTTACCTAACTCCTAGGGCTTCAATCACCACCAGATTATCTGTAACCCCCAAATGTACCAGCAGTAGTATTGGGTTGGCTAAGGAGTTTGTTTGGGTTTTTCCATAGGATGTTATAGAAAAACCCAAACAAACTTCTCGGCCAGCCCAATGCTAGACATTAACAGGGGAGGGAGGGGTGGTGTATTGCAGCCAGGGTTATTAGAAAATAACCTCATTAGCTCCCCCTCTTTCTTTTATTACCCTCCTGAGATCCTGGGAAAGGACTTAGATATATCTTGGAATCACATCACTTCCAAGCAAGGTCTATAAGAACTGTGTCCCAGTTTCCTCCCCCGAATCCATCTGCTGCCCCTTGCTCCCTCTGCCTGTTACTCCTGCTCCAACCACACTCACGCCTCAAACACCTTAGACTCTCCCTTGCATCTGAGCCTTTGTCCACACTCTTTCCCACACGTGGGTGCTGTTACCCTCTATCTTTCACCTGCCAACTCCTATTTCAAACCTCAGCCTAGAGTCATGCCTTCAGGAGGGTCATCCCCAGACCCCATTAACAGCTCCCAGAGGACCCCAAGTTTCCTTTACCATCACACCAGGTCCCACTTTTAGGTGGCTGACTTCCATGCCAGTCTGTAAACTCCATCAGGGTGGGACTGCATTGCCTTGTTTCCTGCTGGTGTCTCCTGTGCTCAGCAAAGAGCTTGCACATACAAGGAGGGCTGGCTCAGTGAGTTGAATTGTTTATGTTTTCTCCCCACTGTATGCAGCTAATGGAGTAAAATGAACAACGCTTAATGCCCCAAGGTAACTGCTGAATTGCGTCATGGCTGACAATTCCCTGGTCCCTCCTGCTGATCCCTTCCCGAGCAGCCTCTCCTAACCCTGAAGCATGGGTGAGCCTGGCAGGCCCCAGGAGGCTGACAGAGGTCATGGAGGAGGAGAGCGGGTGAGGATGGATCAGAGGATACCTGAGCTGGGTAGTCAAAGAGCCACTGTTCCCTGGGCTTTTCTTCGTAGGCGGTTATACCTTCTGTCATCTCGTGCCTCACCGTGGCCTTCATGTGAGCCAGCACGTGGTTCAGCCATATTTCTACCTGGAAGAAGAATTTAGGGTTAGACTCGGGGTTCCTAAGAAGATGTGCTCAGTGATACACGTTTTCTTCCACTCAGATGGAGGCAGTGAAGAAGATGAGCCCAGGCAAGATGCACAACCCTAAACGGTTGCCAGAAGGCGCAGGGGAACCATTCATCTGTGCAATGCAGGGCAGTGGTAGTTGAGACCAAGGCTCAATTAACAACGGGGAGGGGGGGGCAGGGGTGAGGGGCAGTGTGCCCACTGGAACCCACAGAGCAGACGAGCAGGTTTCGGGGAGACAAGACCACCCCCCAGAGATTAGGGGGGAATCTTCATCTGGATTGTGCCTGCGTGCTCAGTTGTGTCTGACTGTAACCCCAAGGACTGCAGCCCTCCAGGCTCCTCTGTCCACGGGATTTCCCAAGCAAGGAAACTAGAGTGGGTTGCCATTTCCTACTACAAGGGATCTTCCTGACCCAGGAGTGTAAATAAATCAGTGGATTCTCATGACCTTGTCCACGGTGCATATGGATTATATTTTCCAACTAAATGCTTTCTGAGACTACAGAAAGAACACCCAAGGTTTGAATCAAACCCCAATGTCCCTTTCATAAAACTGAGAATGTCTATTTTCAGATGCTAGAGTTGCTTTCCAAGATGCATTTGGATGAAGGTAGAACTCTGAAGAAGATCTTTTCTCCAGGCTTTACTCTGGACTGGATTAGCACCCCAGGGACCATGTTTCTTTTGATATTTAGGATAACAGGGGCTTCCCAGGTAGCACTAATGGTAAAGAATACACCTGCCAATACAGGAGACTCAGAGGGCTTGAGTTGCATCCCTGGGTCATGAAGATCCCCTGGAGTAGGAAATGGCAATCCACTCCAGTATTCTTGCCTGGGAAATCCCATGGACAGAGGAGCCTGGCGGGCTGCAGTCCTTGGGGTCACGAAGAGTGGGACATGACTGAGAACAGCACAGAAGAAATGGAAGAGAAAAAAGCAGCAAAAGAGAAAAATGCAGTAGGATAATGAACAAAGAAGGGCTTGTCTACGTTAGTGAAGATGGTGAAAGGTGGGCAGGAGGGTTAAGGAGAGAAGGGCGTCATGTTTTGTGTTTCTTGAGCTGTGCCGGGGAGATGTGGAGCTGGTAGCTTCTGGAGCAGGGCGGTGGCGGGCTCTCCACCAGGCAGGGCTGTAGGAGGTGTATGTGTACAGAGACGTGAACGCTCAGGTCTATGGTTCATTTCAAAGGGCATTTTCTCCCAGGGAAGGTGTCAGTGACCCAGATTCCCCTGTGGGGTGCTCCAGGGCTTGTCATGTTGAAGTCTCCTGGTGCTGCTAATCATTTCCAAACCCTTTTCTTGTTGACTCAGGGAGTTGTTTATGTGCATTTTATTGCTCTCTGCACAGGTCTTTGAGCGAGGAAGATATATAGGTATTGACATGTGTCCCCACAGAGAGGAAAGTGGGTGCTGGAAGCTGCTCTGAAGTCAGTTCAAGTCAGAGGTCTGGGCAGTCCCCAGGCACAGAGACAAGTTCTGGTGCAAGGTCACAAAGGCTGTTCTGAAGGGTGATGCTTGACTGCAGACACTTGAGAGACAGAGGCATGCGTTACCTGCCCACTGCAGTCACAGGGCTCGCTGAAGGCCACGTATTCTCCTTCCTTGCTGTACATGCCAAGGCTGGTCTTGGTTGGCTTCTCATTGGCATCTAGCTGGAACTGCATCTTTGCCATATTGTCAAAGAGTTTGGAAAGGTGGCGTTGAACCTACAAGTGGAGAGCATATCCAGGAAGTTACTTATGATTATTGCTTCAGTTCAGATCAGTCGCTCAGTTGTGTCCGACTCTTTGCAACCCCATGAATCGCAGCACGCCAGGCCTCCCTGTCCATCACCAACTCCAGGAGTTTACTCAAACTCATGTCCATCGAGCCGGTGATGCCATCCAGCTATCTCATCCTCTGTTGTCCCCTTCTCCTCCTGCCCCCAATCCCTCTCAGCATCAAGGTCTTTTCCAATGAGTCAACTCTTTGCATGAGGTGGCCAAAGTATTGGAGTTTCAGCTTCAGCATCAGTTCTTCCGATGATTATTGCTTAGAAGCTACTCATCATTATTGTATTGCTTAGAGGGCTACCCTGTGACAACCATTAAAGTGTTGGGTACCAAATGTTTAGAAGGAAGCTAGGGAATGATGAAGATGTGAAGTTGGGATTTAGTTGGACTGGATAAAAGGGAATATAGATCTAGTGGGCAACACGCGTTAACTACAAACCAATGAAGCCACAAAAGTTTGATTAATTTCTGCCTGATCTACTACAGATGGGAAGAGACTGGAGCAATAACTAATTCATAAGCCCTCTTCCTAAGAAAACACTACTGTGCAGCAGGAGGGTAGGCACAGGAGAGTCTACAGATGAATGCTAATGTGCTGAAATCTGGAGGATCAAGGACAGTGGTGACCATGGCCTGTGGAAGAAGTCACTCAGTTGTAGGAACCACTTTGAGGCAGGAGACCAACCTCTGGTGGGTCCAGAGCAAGGGCCAGCAAACTCACAGCAGGCAGAATGCCTGGTTATACTGGAGATTCTCCCAAGCATGGCATCTCATGATACGGAGGCAGTGATGCCTTGGGCAGTAATCCTAAGAGGATGCCAGACAGAACCACACTGTGGTCCTGAGGTGAGAAGAACAGCACGTGAAGGAGAAATGACAAACAAGAAGCTGCCCCACGTAGAGTTTTTTTGAAATACAGGGGCCTCCTGAGAACTGTGAGTTTTAACCTTTACATTTATGGCAATGAGTTCTCTCGCTTATGAGATGGCGGGAGAAATTCTAAGAGTATTGAAGTAAATGAAACGTGCTGGAGGAGATCCCACCCAGTGACTTGGGACAAATAATAGAGATGGACCTTTCTTTATCCAAGAACAAATAGTGGATGAAAGCAACAACCACAATTAACACAAGACCGGTGAAATTATCCCACAACTTCAATGAAGGAGAAAGCCAGACTCAAGAAATAGAGTAAGAGCATATATATATTAGAAGCTTAACATAGGAAACAGAAGTAGTGATGAAAAAATATCACCTTGTTTTGCTTTCAATTAAATGAAAAAAACATGAACTCTATAAAATTTGAGGTGGAAGATAAGAAGAACTGGTAGAGGTAGAAAAATAAAACAACAAATGGGGCAGTGTAGTTTTTAACAGCGTTAGCAACACAAAAGGACCAAATAAACACACACATTAAATATGGTGAATAAATCTGAGGGACATGGAAGAATGCCAAGGAAGAGGACTAAGAGAGAAAAAAGTGTATAAATATGTAGAAATATGTATGAATAGATGAAGATAATAATCTCAACATACAGAAATATGACGAATCTGAGGGAAAAGATTATCCACATAACTGGAATAGAAATACCAAATAGAGATTTCTCGGGTGGCCCAGTAGTTAAGACTTTGCCTTCCAATGCAGATGCTGTGGGTTCAATCCCTGGTCAGGGAGCTAAAATCCCACATGCCTCATGGCCAAGAAACCAAAACTTAAAACAGAAGCAATACTGTAACAAATTCAATAAAGACTTTAAAAATGGTCCATTAAAAAAAAAAGAAGAAATATTATGCAAAAGTATACTGAAAGAAAACATTTCCAAGATAGTGAAAGCCCCAGTTTTCAGAAAGGGAACAAAAACCTCATCGTGTTAGAGAAAGATAAAGCAAGGATCCAAGCACATAGAAATTTTCAAAATTTAATTTAAATTTTGATCTCTACAGAGATCCAACTGGAAAGAAACTGGGCTACCTAGAAAGGTTTAAGGGAAAAAAAAAAAAAAAGCAGGTAGCCAGAGATGAGGTTAGGGACCACGCTGATGGCAACATAGGTCAAATAGACACACTGCTTAATGGGGCATAATGGGGAACTTGAAACTCTCCTGCTGGAGCGTCTCAATCCTTCTGACTGTTTCTACAAGCACTCCCCTGCTTACCTGTTGAGGGGCTGTGCCGTTGGAAAGAATGTCTAGAAGATCAGAAGAGGAGAGGAAGTAAAACCTGGGGAAGGCAAGCCTTTTGGTGTCCAGGTACTCCGCCAGGGCCTTCTCACAGAGGTACAGCCTGAGGGCACAGAGAATCTCCTTGTTAGGTTTGCCAGGATCCATAGGCATGTGGATGTTACCCAAATGCAAACGAGTGTGACCTGTGAATTACACTCAGGAGTGATGTATGCATGGAACATCTGTGGGCATGTGCATACACCCCTACTAGTACACTTCCATCAGAATAAACACCTCCAACAATATCCCATATTACCCAAGCACACGGGCAAATCAAGGCACACGGCCAGACACACACGCTCACTCTCTCACTCGGGCAGTTAGCGAAGGTAAGGACCTGAGAGACAAAGACAGCCTCTCCACTACAAAGGCAGCTGCACATCAACCATCACCTGCTCTGAATATCTTCCAGCTTTTCGTAAAGACCTGGCTTGTTGGTGGCTTCCACTACGTTTGGAGTTTTCCGAGCATCATAAGCTAACTCTTTAAAGTCTATGTCGATGCCTTCAAATCTTTTAGAATCCTGCAAATTAAAGTGTGGAAAAAATTAACCCCCACTCCTTTTAACTCCAAGAAGCTACCCTCATGTACCAAGCCTGCTTTTGAAAACTGCTCCTAGGTTGTATAACACAGAGATTAGGCCCAAAGGAGGAAATACCTTTAGCTTGAATCAATGGATCAATGGTTCTCACACATTTTGGTCTTAAAACCCCTTTCACGTTTGTAAAACTGACTGGGGAGTGCAAAGAGCTTTCGTTTATTCGGTAATATTATATCTATCAATGCATATTCTACGTTAGAAGCTAAAGGTGAGAAACGTTAAAAAATATTTGTCAATTCATTTAAAATTACAGTAATAAGCACATTATTTTAATATAACACATATTTTAGTCCAAAATAAGTATTTTTTCCAAAACAACATAACTTAGAGGAAAAAGTGGCATCACTGCACTTTTTTTTGCCAAATCTCTTAGAAGATGGCCAGATTCTCTTCCCTGCTTCTGTGTTCAGTATGTTGTGATATCGCACCATGTGGCCTCTGGAAAATTCCACTGTATGCTCATAGAAGAACAAGTGAAAACAGCAAATGCCATTTTAGTATTATTATTAAGATAGTTTTCACCTTGAGGATCCCCTGGAAAGGCCTCAGGGACCCCTTGCCAGAGGTCATCAGACCACACTTTGAGAACTGTTGGCGTAAACTGTGTAATTCCTAAGTCAGGCAGATGGTGGATCCTATGTGCTTTCTGGGTCCAAGCAAAAGTTTCTATAACCAAAGTAAGCATTTCAGCAGCAAAGGTGCTATTATGATGTCAAAGTGAAAGTGAAAGTGTCAGTTGCTCAGTCACGTCCAAATCTCTGTGACCCCACGGACTGTGGCCTGCCAGGTTCCTATGTCCAAGGCATCCTCCAGGCAAGAATACTGGCGAGGGAAACCATTCTCTTCTCCAAGGGATCTTCTTGACTCAGGGGTCAAACACGTCTCCTGCATTGGCAGGTGGACACTTTACCATCTGAGTCACTGGGGAAGCCCGTGATGTCAAAAGAAATTAAATATTATCATTTTCCCCAAATGCACACACTCCCACAGTGTTGTTGAAATGACTGAGACAATGCTAAATGCAAAGCACCTCAGCCCAACACCTGGTACCTGGTGAGAGCTTGTGTGGTTATGATTACATAACAACAATCATAATGGTATGTGCTGAACATTCAGCTTTAATGAACTTCTGGATGTAGGGACCGGGCTTAGTCTCAATTTACAGATGAGAAAACCAGGGCACTGAGAGTTCAAGTAACTTCCCTCAGGTCCTTGAGAGGGTGGACTCAAGCCTGGGCTGCTGGCCCCAGTCTGCTGGGACCTCTGTGACCCATGCCTCTCTCCTATCAAGACTTCAATTATGATTCCTTAAATGAGGTATCTTTCACCAGTTAAAAATGAAAAATTATCAAAAATTTATAAAATCATCAGAAGATTTCCCTGGTGGTGCAGTTGGATAGGAGTCTGCCTGCCAGTCCAGGGGACACGGGTTCCAACCCTGGTCCAGGAAGATTCCACGTGCCTCGGGGCAACCAAGCCTGTGAGCCACAACTGCTGAAGCCCAAATGCCTAGAGCCCATACTCTGCAACCAGAGAAGCCGCCACGATGAGAAACCTGTGCACCGCAACTAGAGGAAACACAAGCAGGGCAGTGAAGATGCAGCACAGCCAAAAATAAGACAAATAAACAAAAAGGAAGGGTCAGAAGTAAGGGACTTCCCAGGTGACTCCGTGGTAAAGAATCTGTCTGCCAACGCAGGAGACATAAGAGACACAGCTTCAATCCCTGGTTCAAGAAGATTCCCTGGAGTAGGAAATGGCAATCCACTCTGGTATTCTTGCCTGGAGAACCCCACGGACAAAAGAACCTGAAAGGCGACAGTCTATAGGGTCACAAACAGTTAGGACATTACTGAGCAACTGAGCATACACACACATCAGAAATATCTGACATAAATGTTTGAAATGAAAAGAACTGACTGGAAAATTGTAACTATCCTGAGAGCAATTGTGTAAAAACATGTATATATGTGAACAAAAGGTGGACAACATTCATAGTGAATGAAAATATTTACTAGTTAGGGTGTAACATGATGACTAATTTGTGGTATTTCTTTGTTACCATATTGTCACTACAAAGAAGACAAATGTATTTACACATTTTACACATAAACCTGAGAAGTTAATGATATGAACTATTTATTATTTTTTATTGTAAATTCTCAAATGCCTCTTTTAAAATGCCTGCAAAAGTCTCTACCTACATTCTCTCCCACTTCTCATCAAACCTGCCCTTCTTCAATCATGAGCATTGGAGACGAATAAAATCTGGCTTATTTGATTTTGTTTCATGACAGTAGCTGTAGTGGAATTATTTTCTGTTATTTTTCACTGCAGATGTACAAACTTTAATCTGCATCATTATACTAAATGTGCTTTTGTGGGATGAGCTGGAAAAATATGATTTGATAGAATGTGCTTTAACTCTGAAACAAGGTCTGGACAACATGTGACATTTTGGAATCAAACTAATTTGCAAGCAAAGAACTCACTGTGCTGAGGGATATTGAAGGGTTATTCGCTCAGTCGTGTCTGATTCTTTGCGACCCCATGGACTGTAGCCGATCAGGCTCCTCTGACCATGGAATTTTCCAGGCCAGAATACTGGAGTGGGATGTGGAATAAGTCTGCAAAAATCCTTTTTTAAATGAGTCCACTGAGAGAGGGCATACATCAATGGCACATTAATTAGGACAATTAGAAGGGGCAAACAAATTAGAAAGGTAGTAATAAGAAGAATGCATATCTTAGAGAAATTCCTCATTTAGTACTTAGCTGAAGACTAGTGTTTAAGCCTGCTAGCATAGGCCGGAGGTTTACAGAATAGCTTGTTGCAGAGAAGGAACTCAAGCTTGCCTGGAAATGATGCTGCTTCCCGGTCGGTACCCACACTGTGATTACGGGTAGAGCCACACAAGAGCAGCTCCTGTTTCAGACCTCCTTTCTCCAGTACACTTCTTTTGTTTTTTAAACCAGGTTCTCTTTCTTTTTCCTACCCATCTAAGGACAAATTGTTTGTGGTTGTTTAGTTGCTAAGTCGAGTCTCACTCTGAGACCCCATGGACTGTAGCCCACCAGTCTCCTCTGTCCACGGGATTTCCCAGGCAAGAATACTGGAATGGGTTGCCATTTCCTCCTCGAGGGGATCCTCCCAATCCAGGGATTGAACCCAGGTCTCCGGGGATTCTTTACCACTGAGCCACCAGGGAAGCCCAAGAACAAGCTGTCTGGCATGCATTTTACCTTCTCTCTTTTCCTGTGCCTGGCTTTTGGTGTCTTGAAAGGTCTGTGATTGTTGGAGATGCCCCTGGGTGAAGCCAAGGCAGGGAGGCAGAGAAGGAATGGTCTAGAGAATGCAGGGGCTGGGGGATTGTCCCTTGATTCGGAGTAGGGAACAGAGGGAGCAGGGTTTCTGTAGCAGGTACCTGGGGCAGCTGAGCCCGGATATCTTCAGATCCGATGAATATGCTTTCTAGGTGAGACCAGGTGCGCTGCACTTCATACCAGATGGAGATGACGGCGTCGGCGGTGGACAGCTTCTTCTGCCAGCCTGACACGTCCTCCAGGAAGAAGGCAATGTGCTTGGACACCATCAGGTTCTGAAGCTGGACCTGGTTATCCTCCAGAACCTCGATGAGGTCCTCATCGGACTGCAGCAGGGGCACACAGGTCCGTGGGTGGGGTTCGTACTGGAACTCCATGCCAGCCCAGGTGGTCTGCAGCTCCTTCAGCACCTTCTCCATGCCCAGCTCTTTCACGGCTCTGTCCACGATGCCCCGGACCTCGTCCTCAAAGTGGTGCAGCTGCAGCTGCAGGAGGTGGGCCAGGGTGGTGCTCTCATCCATGGTGAAGGTCACGCCCGTGGCCTGCATCAGCTGCCTCCAGTGCCGCTCCCGGATGGCCGGGTTCTGCAGCTCGGCCACAGCCCTCAGGGAGGTCAGGGTGTCCAGCACGGTGCTCTCCAGGCCTGTGAAGGCCTCCCAGGCCCTGACCTCCTTGTCGAGGTTCCAGATGTTCCTGGTGAACTTTTTGCACTCCAAGTCCATGGCCTCCACGTCGATATCCTTCCACCTGGTGGTCTCCCAGGCATGGATGCTGGAGGTCACCATCCCGATCGTGTCCCAGAGCTCCTTCAGCCGGCACGCCTCCTTCCTGCACTGCCGCAGCTGCTTATAGTCAGGGACGGTGACTTCAAACAGGCTGGCGGACGCGGAAATGGAGGCCATGGTGGACTCCATCTGCTGGATCTCCAGGTGCCAGGCATCCAGCGTCTGATGAGGGTCAGTGCTATCAAACCTGCAAGACAAGACACAGCATTTCCCCTTCATCAGTGGAGAACTCAGGGACCATCTCCTGGAATCACCAGAGCCATGGCAGCTTGAACCTTTAAATCCTTAGTGTTTTAGCAAAGAGCAGGGATGTTCACTAAAGCTTGCGAAGGAAAGATAGTCAGGGTAGGTCAGAGTGGGATGAGCATAACCAGCAGGAGGAAGAATGATTCAAGAGGAACGTCCTGTCTGGATCTGTTCTACATCCATGTGTGCTCAGTCATGTCCGATTCTTTGCAACCCTTTGGACTGTAGCCCATCAGGCTCCTCTGTCCATGGGATTTTTCAGGCAAGACTACTGGAGTGGGTTGCCCTTTCCTACTCCAGGGAATCTTCCCATCTCAGGGACTGAACCTGCATCTCCCGTGTCTCCTGCATTGCAGGCGGATTCTTTACCCACTGAACCATCAGAGAAGCCCTCTACATCCGAGAGGGTAATAAAAATGCTCCTCACCTCCCCAGGTCCAGCGGGGGAATAACCGTTTGTTTGAACTCCCCTTAGGCTCTGTTTCACTTCCTGGTGTCCAGCCCACTTGACACAAAAGAGCATTGTCCTGTTACTGCAGAGGCTGTGAAGGCGAAGGTCACGCCAGGCGGTATCTGCTTTACACACAGTAATGTATGTATTTCAGTGCTACTGCCTCAATTAATCCTACCCTCCCCTTCCCCGGCTGTGTCCATAAATCTGTTCTCTTTGTCTGAGTCTCTATTCCTGCCTTGCAAATAGGTTCATCAGTACCATTTTCCTAGATTCCATATATATGCGTTAATATATGATATTTGTTTTTCTCTTTCTGACTTATTCCACTTAGTATAACAGGCTCTAGGTTCATTGACCTCACCAGAACTGACTCAAATGCATTCCTTTTTTTTTTTTCATTTATTTTTATTCGTTGGAGGCTAATATTTAATGGGCCAAATATCTAAACAGACATTTCTCCAAAGAAGACATACAGATGGCTAACAAACACATGAAAAGATGCTCAACATCACTCATTATCAGAGAAATGCATTCATTTTTATGGCTGAGTAATATTCCATTGGGGCTTCCCTGGGGGCTCAGGTGTAAAGAATCTGCCTGCAAAGCAGGAGACACAAGAGGCGTGGGTTTGATCCCTGGGTCAGGAAGATCCCCTGGAGAAGGGAATGGCTACCCACTCCAGTATTCTTGTCTGTAGAATTCCATGGATAGAAAAGCCTGGCAGGCTACAGTCCATGGGTTCACAAAGAGTCAGACACGACTGAGCAACTAACAAATATGTACCATAGCTTCTTTATCCATTCACCTGTTGATGGACATCTAGGTTGCTTCCATGTCCTGGCTATTGTAAATAGCAGGTAACAGTATTTTTCAGATTCCCTGGGTTGGCTTCCTTCTCTGTGGTGAGGTTCACACTAACGGCCTGCATCACCTTCAGGAAGCACTGCCTCTGGGTGGGAGAACCACTGAGAGGGGCCCTGACGCATGAGCACAAAGTCCTGACCACGGGCCTGTGCTGCATGGCCTTCCCGAACTGTGTGCTTCCCGTCAGGCTCCACGTCTCTCAAGCTCCTCCTTCAAGTGGCCCCGTCTCCTCCTGTGTCCTGCAGTGACCTCCGGTTCTGCACTTGACTCCTGTAAACACTACATCGAACTTTACAGTTCAAGTTCATCTTTCCTCCTCCTCTTCTCCCCATGTTCAGGACTCCCATGCTGCTCCTGGTCCTCACCCCATGAACCCCCTTTATGGTCTGGCCCCTTCAACCCACATTCCTGGCAGAACCTCTTCTCTGGTGTAAGAACTGCTCATTCACAGATTCCCATGCTTATTTAACTTATATGCAGAGTACATCATGAGAAACGCTGGGCTGGAAGAAGCACAAGCTGGAATCAAGATTGCCGGGAGAAATATCAATAACCTCAGATATGCAGATGACACCACCCTTATGGCAGAAAGTGAAGAAGAACTAAAGAGCCTCTTGATGAAAGTGAAAGAGGAGAGTGAAAAAGTTGGCTTAAAGCTCAACATTCAGAAAACTAAGATCATGGCATCTGGTCCCATCACTTCATGGGAAATAGATGGGGAAACAGTGGAAACAGTGTCAGACTTTATTTTTGGGGGCTCCAAAATCACTGCAGATGGTGATTGCAGCCATGAAATTAAAAGACGCTTACTCCTTGGAAGGAAAGTTATGACCAACCTAGACAGCATATTAAAAAGCAGAGACATTACTTTGCCAACAAAGGTCCATCTAGTCAAAGCTATGGTTTTTCCAGTAGTCATGTATGGATGTGAGAGTTGGACTATAAAGAAAGCTGAGTGCCAAAGAATTGATGCTTTTGAACTGTGGTGTTGGAGAAGACTCTTGAGAGTCCCTTGGACTGCAAGGAGATCCAACCAGTCCTTCCTAAAGGAGATCATTCCTGGGGGTTCATTGGAAGGACTGATGCTGAAGATGAAGCTCCAATACTTTGGCCACCTGATGTGAACAGTTGACTCATTGGAAAAGACCCTGATGCTGGGAGGGATTGGGGGCAGGAGGAGAAGGGGATGACAGAGGATGAGACGGCTGATCACCAACTCGATGGGCATGAGTTTGAGTAAACTCTGGGAGTTGGTGATGGACAGGGAGGCCTGGCGTGCTGCAATTCCTGGGGTCACAAAGAGTAGGACACGACTGAGTGCCTGAACTGAACTGAACTGATGTGGGTCAGGAGCACCCAGAACAACCTTCAAGGAGCCTCTGGTTTTCCTTCCCTAGCCTCCCTGTATCCTTTCTTCCCATCACCAGTCTCAGGTCTTCCTGTTTCTGTGTGCTTGAGGGGTGGCTAGATATTGGGGATGCATATGTGCATGCTAAGTCACCTCAGTTGTGCCCTACTCCATGCAACCCCATGGACTGTAGCCAGCCAGGCTCCTTGGTCCATGGGATTCTTCAGGCACGAATACTGGAGTGGGTTGCCATGCCCTCCTCCAGGGGATCTTCCCAATCAAGGGATCGAAACTGCATCTCTTACGTCACCTGCATTGGCAGGCAGGTTCTTTACTACTAGTGCCACCTGAGAAGCCCCAGATACTGGGGATACCACGATTTAAGTGTGAACACCATCTTTCTCTAAAATTAGACTTGGGAATGGTGGAGTCCAATATAAAGAAGTTGAGAGGGAAAAGGAATGACTAGAGAATTGGCCATTTCTTGCAATTGTGTGTGTGTCCGTGTGAGTGTGTGTGTGTGTGTGTGTTTGGTGGGAAGATGATGACATGCAAGAATCTTTCCTTGAACTGCCTCTTCTCTCAACTGTCTCTGGAAATATTTGACTTGACGGATGGAAAGTAATCCTAATTAAAGTCATTTACCTGAACTGCTCACCACTTAAGCCTAATTGCCATGCAACACAATAACAGTTATGCATACCATTAAATTAGTGTCAGATTAGCTTTGATGCTTGCTATGTTTGATTCCTGCTTGTTCCATCTAAATAGTTTTGGCTGGCATGCTCTGGTGGTGGATTTTCGTCTTAAGACTGAATACCATCGTGTATGTTCACTGTTGTCCAGCCAGCGAGGGCTTCAGAAGGGCCTGGAGTTCTCAGAGCTGAAGAGGGCCGTCTGTCTGTATAGGAAAGGAGCTTTCTCCTCTATGAGAGCAGTAGAGAAAGAATTACAAGGAAAATAATGTAACATCCTCACAGCAAGTGAGCCATCAGGAAAGATTACCCAGCACAAAGGTTCCCCCCACACATTCTTTCGAAGACTAATTGTTGGAACGTGTTGGTTGGAACGTGTTGGTTCTGCCTTTTATCTTGACTAGAGTGAATGGCGAAAGCGAACTTGGCTTCTTGGTGTTAGTATATATCAGACAGATTCTAAAAGCCCAGATTCTGTTTAATTTATTAATAGAGTATAGTTCCGAAATAGTAGGTAAGACAGGAGTTATCAGAGTGTTGGAGGGGTAGGCACAGAAGATAATAAATGATCTTCCTAACACTTCTTTCCACAGTGCCTATGAACATCCTTGAATCAATATTGATTCCTCAAATATTTGTAAGAGGTGATCATTTGTCAAACCTATTCCAAACTTCATTTGCTCTGTGGCATAATTTTTGTTTATGGTTTGAATCTGCTGACATTCATTCCCTATAGCTGAGCGCATATAAAAGTTAATTTGACCTAAGTAGTGAAAGGAACCTCCAGACAGGGGAGCAAATAGCCCGCTTCCCATTTCAAAGCTCTGGTGCAAACTGTCAGGATATTCACAGACCTGATTAATGCACCTAATAAACTTGAAGCAGTTCTCCAAAGCCTGGGGGAACAATACAATGTGAGAACAAGAAGCTAATAGGAGGGAAAAGGGTGTAGTTAGTCTTTGAAATTGAAATAATAATACACAAGTATTTTAATCTAAAAGAGAAATGCCTGGAAAGTCTGGATGAGCAAAGCTATAATTAAGAGAAATGGAAATAGGGTGCTCATGTGTATGATCTTGGAAAAAAGGATTCGGGCCTGCCCTAGATGTGGGCACAGACAGAAAGAGGAATAAGTGACTTAAATGATTTCTTGGGGCGTGAGCAGCTGGTAAACATCAACCTCAGCCCCATAACTGCACATATAAGGCGCAGTGACACCCCTGGGCTTGAAACCCTAAGGGCATTGTAACTCAGCCTGTTCCTTCTGACCTGGTGACCTTTCCCATCCCATGGTCCCATCTAAGGAGCAGCAAAACATACCCCCTTCCACTTACTGGTCCAGACAGAAGACAGAGAATTACACTTGGATCTGTCCCTGGTGGATCAGACGGTAAAAGAATCTGTCTGCAATGCAAGAGACCCAGGTTTGATCCCTGCATTGGGAAGAACCCCTGGAGAAGAGAATGGCTACCCACTCCAGTATTCTTGCCTGGAGAATCCCATAGACAGGAGAGCCTGACGGGTCATAGCCCATGGGGTTGCAAAGAGTCAGACACAACTTCCAGCTCCCATAATTCACTCAATCCTCCCGATTCTCCCTCTGAGTGTCCCTCACACCCATCCTCCGCTCCCCCTGCTCACCGCAACGGCTTCAGCTCAGGCCTCCTGCTTCTCCCCTGGGCTGTTGCAATCACCCTGCCCCCCATCGCCATGGAGCCCCTGCCATGAGTCTACCTTGAGCCACTCTGTTCTCTGCAGTCACAAGAGAAGTGTCTACATGATGCTGTTCTCAGGCTTGGACTCCGCAGTGCTCATTCATGGTCTGAGCCTGGTCACCTGGACCTCTCCCTCCTCACCTCCCGCATCCTGCATCCCACTCACACACATGTGCAGTCCTCCAGCTGTGTGTTATGTTTTCATCCCCCTGTCTCTCTCCAGGTCCTGCTTCCCTTGTCTGGAATACCATGGCTTTCAACTTCTCTTTTTCCAAATGGCTAATTCTCATTTGCCCATTGGCTGAAGCACCAACTTCTGTGGGGTTTGTGAACTGCCTCCCCAGTGGGCATCAAAGTTGGGCCCAATGGGCATGTCTGATTATTAATTTCTTTTTGCCTTTTCCCCATCCCGATCCCCCCTCCCACCTCCCTCTCCACCCGATCCCTCTGGGTCTTCCCAGTGCACCAGCCCCGACTTGTCTCATGCATCCAACCTGGGCTGGTGATCTGTTTCACCCTTGATAATATACATGTTTCGATGCTAGGAGACCCTTCATGAGCAAGATGAAGGCACATTTGCTGCACTGTCTGGAAAGCCTTGATTTTCTGCTTGTCATGCAGGACAGCACCCAATGGGAGAGTGTCTTCAAGATAGTCCTTCCCACCATTCATAGAATTTGGGGACTGGCCAGCTAGAAACACTGATGGTTTCCAATGAACTGGAGCTCAGGGGGATCAAATGCTTTTACCAAGAAACCCCTGGATTATCCTGGTCTTGATATGGGTAAGCTGACTGGATGCCATGGTACCATTCCTTAAAGCCAGGAAGCCTGAACAAGAGAGCTGCTAGAAGCCTGGAGCATCCCTGTCACTCAACCAGGGAGAATGAGTCTCCAATTTCAAGAGTTGTGAGAAGTGCTTGAGTCTGGCTACGATGATCTAGCTGATTACTGAGAGAGCTCAGCTAGGAATATGCTGACACAGCTTCACGTTAAGAACAGAAGGAGGAAGAAAAACTCAACTTAAACACAGAGAAAGAACTTCACCCCTAAGGACCTAACTTCATCCTGTACCTGTTAGACTTCAAGGGCCAAATGAGACCCACACTTTCCTTTTCTTCCCAAAGATAAGATCAACGTGAGCTTCCCCTGTAATCTAATCAGGAAGAGAGACTTGCCTTCAGCAAGATGCATTTTAGAATTCTGTGAGTGATCTGAAGGCAAAGGAACGAGAACTCAACTCATTTGCCACATACAACGTCTAAACACTTTAAACACACACATTCGTGCACACGAAACTTAAGAAGTAAACCCATGTGTTGACACCCACGAAGATTGCCCTCAGTAATAAATCCATGATTCTGCTCTAGTCTTGATAGTCTTCTTGACAAGAAGAGGAATACATCAAGATTGCAGTCATGTTTGACTTTCTGCACTGCTGTGAGCAGTTCTTTTCAAAGAAGTCTCTTGCAAAGATTCATCTGCATGTTAAATTAACAGATGTGAATTTGATATACAAGCAGCTTATGCAGCTCAATACCAGAAAAACAAACGACCATAATTAAAAAGACACATGTATCCCAATATTCACAGCAGCACCATTTACAATAGCTAGGGCATGGAAGCAACCTAGATGTCCATCGGCAGATGAATGGATAAAGATATTGTGGCATATATAGACAGATACATAATGGAATATTACTGAGCCATAAAAAGGAATGTATTCAAATCAATTCTAGTGAGGTGGATAAACCTAGAGTCTGTTATACAGAGTAAAGGAAGTCAGAGAGAAAAGAAGAAATTTTGTATATTAACACATATATATGGAATCTAGAAAAATGGTACTTATGAACCTATTTGCAGGGCAGGGGTAGAGATGCAGACGTACAGAACAGACTTTGGACACAGCAGGGGAAGGAGAAGGTGGGATGAACTGAGAGAACAGCACTGACATATATACATCACCATATATAATACGGATAGCCAGTGGGAAGCTGTTGGACAGAACAGGGGGCTCAACGCAGTGCCTCGTGACAACCTAGAGGGCCAGGGGGTAGGGGGAAGGCTCAGGAGGAAGGGGACATATGTGTCCTTGTGGCTGATTCATGCTGTTGTATGGAAGAAGCCAACACAATATTGTAACACAATTGTCCTCCAACTTTAAAAAAAATGTAAATTTGGAAGACTCATTTAAGGGCAGTAATATCTTCATAGCCAGCTGATGGATACAAATGCAAAGAGAGAAAAACCAAAGCAGCTATCACATTAAAAAAACAAGAGCTGATCAATACATAAGTGTGATACAACTAGGAAGGGGAGATCAAGGTTTCCGACAGACACACGGAAAGACACACAGCAGCAAAAAGAGTGCTGTTCTGTTCAGGCAGTCTTGGGAGCCTGTTTGGAAAGATCTCTCACCAGACATATTTGGAATTCCTTTTTTGAAATTTTTTTTAAAAAAGAGACAGATGATGTAAAGATATCAGTGTCATTACCTTCATGGCTGTTGCCCTAGTGTGGATACTGTCAGCACTGCCCAGAAATACCCATTCATGGCCCGCCTGCCTTACCAGCTTCGATCCTGTGCTCAATTGCACATCCAAAGGAGAGTCAAAGGGATGTGCTTTGACACATCCAGACTGGGGACCGGTACCTCCTATCAGATCACTGATGGCATTAGATTGGAAATAAAGTAATAAATGTAATGTGCTTGAATCATCCCGAAACCATTCTCCCCACCTCCGGTCTGCGGAAAAACTGTCTTCCAAGATATCGGTCCCTGGTGCCAAAAAGGTTGTGGACTGCTATAAATCTAAAGGAATGCAGAGTCATTTGGAGTTATACGCCCTGGTGTGATTGCTTAAAAGGGGCCCAGTTTCTTCCCTTTGGGTGGCTGTCTCTAACTTGGCTGCTCATCAGATTCAGCTAGGGAGCATTAAAAACTACTGATGCCCGGTCTCATTCCCAGTGTCTGATTTAGTTGGTCTGCAGGAGAGGCTGGACAGTGGAAGTTTTAAAATCTTCCAGGTGGTTTTAATGCTTTAGAGTGCTATGTTGTACATTTATCCTAAATACAGCTTATACATTTTTCCTTTCTTGTCTTCTTTTTTAAAAATAAATCTGTATGAGACTTTTCAAGTTCTGTACTTCATTTTTTTTTAATTTAAAAAAATTTTTTGGCCACAAGGCATGTGGGATCTTAGTCCCCTGACCAGGGATCAAACCCATGCCCCCTGCACTGGGGGCATGGAGTCTTAACCACTGGACTGCCAGAGAAGCCCCTTTCCCTGCCTCTTGACATACTCGTCTCATTCTGTCTAGCCCCAGGTATGATGCTTTGGAGACCAGCCGCTTCATACATGTTTGATGATGAATAATAAGAAGAGTGAGGCCCTTCCTGTGAGTCAGGTGGGGTGACCAAGGGTCTCAGTCTGCCTGACACAGAGGGGATCCCCTGGATATGTGACTTCTGGTGCCAAAACCAGAACAGGATCAGGTAAATAAAGATGGCTGGTTACCTGGGTGCTGGGTCCTGTGCTAAAAGCTTGTGAAGATGTGCTATTTAATCCTATCAACAGCCTTCCGAGGTGGATACTATTAATACCCCCACTTTGCAGATGAGGAAACACAGCACAGAGTGACAGACCTGACTTAGGCAGTGAGTAAGTGACTGCCCTGACTTAGCAAGCGAGTAGTGGACCCGAGATTAGCCAGAGGGCTTGCTAAACCCAGGGTCCGTGTGCTTAATCATTACGTCGTCTTAACTCCTGATAAAGTTGTGGGATTTTCTTTCCTTGCTTCATTGGTCACTTTAGCATGTATCACCCTTAGGTCAGATCTCTGTCAGTAACTTGAAAATGAAAAGCTTCCTGGTGTTTTACACAGGGCATTTTTCAGTCTGGAGACTTCCAGGCATGTCTACACGACAACCAGAGAGGAGATCCAGCAGGAAGCCCCGCAGGGAAAACAGAAAGCAAACCCTGGAGCTGGGCTGGGGGGAGAGGGTCCACTTCAGCTGGCGCGTCAGGAGACACAGGGCCACCAGGACTGGCCCCTGGTTGCAGCGTCTGACGCTGAGCAGCAGACCTGGAGCAGCCCCCACAGGCTTCCCCACCTGGGGAGGGAGCCCCAGGGGGAAGGACTGCGTGTGTGCAGTGGGCCCGCGTGAACGGTGCTGTCCACCCCACCCCTTCTCTGTTTATGTAAAGATCGCTGACCACGAGCAGCGGGCAGTCTGGCTAAGCAGAGGAGGGACTCCTTAAAGTAAATCTGTCACCTTGAATCCTGCCGTTAGGCCACTGAAAGGCCTTCCAAAATTATTTTTTAATTCTTTTTTTTATTTTTGGCCACACCGTGCAGCATGTGGGATCTTCATTCCTTGACCACAGATTGAAGCCACTCCCCCTTGCATTGCAAATGTGGAGTTTTAACCACTGGACCACCACGGAAGTCCCCCCAAAATTATTTTCAAATTCTATCAGCCACTTTTTTTTAAACCAAAAGAACAGAAGTCTGGGAGAAATCAGAATACTAACAGTTTAGTAAGAGATGAGTAATTTTACCACACACAATCCCTTTATAGACCTGGAGACATAGAAGCTTCTAGATTTTTCTTTTAAGTATTTGTACAGCCTTTGTTCATCCCACACGGGCCACAACAGGACTCTGTGAACATGAGTCCCCGGTCTAACCAGCGGACCTAAACAGGAGGGAAGAAGAGTAACCAGTCTTCTGTTAAGAAGATACACAGCCTCCATGGGGAGGTCACCCATGACTTAAGATGCTGCTGCGCTTCCAGGACGCGAGGCCGTGGTGGCGACCTGGGTGCATACCTGAAGGGCGCTTCCCTGCGGAATCGCTCCCGGAAGGACTGCTGCTCCGCCTGGAAGGCCGTGCACCGCTGGCGCAGGAGGCTCACTTCATTTGCCTGCAGGGGGGCCACCTGCTGCCTCACGATAACCGCCGTCTTTTTAATGTTGTTCCACTTCTCAGGCAGCTCCTGCCAAGGACACCCGACGTGGTCAGACGTCTGCTCCCCCGTGACCCCAGACCCGAGGCTGGACACGTTCAGACATCTCAGCCTCCGGTCCACAAACGCGATGGCACTGTTTGCCGTTGTCTACAACTGCCCCCTTCCTTCTCGGGGCTCCCTGGCTGCCCACTCTCATGACGGTCACCTACCTTGGACTCAACACAATCCTCCTCACTCTCAACTTCTCCTCTGTAGACTTTGTTGTTGTTGTTTAGTTGCCGAGTCACGTCTGACTTGGGCTTTCCCAGGAAAGAATACTGGAGGGGGTGGGGGTTGCCATTTCCTCCTCCAGGGGATCGTCCCGACCCAGGGATCGAACCTGCATCTCCTGCATTGCAGGCAGATCCTTTACTCCTGAGTCACCCAGGAAGCCCCAGGAAGCCTTACTGTCTTCTATATTTTCCAACAGTGCTTGGTTATTTTCTTGTATGCCCCACATTTCCTCTTTGATCATCATAACATTCCTCAAACCTCCTTTTTCTTTTCTCTCTGAATCAAAATTTGGCTCATCCCTAATTCTGGAAAAGGACCACACACACTTCATCCACATCAGCTTTCCCATATTTCTCCAGGGTTACAGTGTTTCATATTTATTGAGTGTTGAGAAAGTGGTACACATTATACACACGAGACACATTTACTTCCAAAACATGGATCTTGAGTTATCATAGGTCCTGTTTTTCATTGACTTCACCACGTTCATCTCACTTTGAAATCCCCAAACGTTCCCTCTATTTCCTTTATTAGGAAAGCATAAACTTTGCACTGACCTCCAGCTGCTCAAACACTGTTTCCGGCAATTCTTGTCCATAGGTCTTCAGCAATTCAATCGTTTGCTTTAAAGGCTCAAACATCTCATCGGTGCTGCTCTGTCGTTCTTTAAGAGCCATCAGGTGCCCCATAATCTCAACCAGTCCTTGGAAATCTCCTTTTTCGACTTTCTTGAGCAAGCCATTCTCACTGTTTTTAATAAATGCTTCAAGGTCGGCCAAGCTGAGGAGAACAAACAGAATGTGAGCAGCCATTCCCCTTCCACCCTTCAAAAGAATTTATTTATTTCCCCAACATAATAGCTATTATTATGCAAAACTCTCCATAGCCCGATGATAATATACAACCCTCTTCAGTTGTGTCAAGGTCACAAAGGACAAAGACTGGGCCTTCCATGATGGAGGAGACACAGGAGACAAGGAGAATTATTGAGACAACTGGTGAAACGTGAATAACTCTGCGAACTAGTCACACCTTCTACATCAATACTAACTTCCTAGTGTACCATGGTTGCCTCGGATGTTACCGGGGTAACATCTTGGGAAAGTGGAGTGAAGGTAAAAGAGAAGTCTCTGTACTGCTTTTACAGGTTTTTTGGTATGTCTGAAATTATTTCAGAGTGAAATCATTTCAAAGTGAAATAATCTCACAGTGAATATATTACAAATTATTTTGTGAATCAGTCTGAAATTACTTTTTAAAAAGTGGAAAATAAATACTATGGCCTATAGGGTTATACATACTTGGGTTTAATTTTGACACTTACTAGATGGGTGGCCAAGTCATTCAATGTCTCTGAGCCTCAGATTCTTCATCTGTAAGATTAGAAAGATCATTTCTTTCTCGCTGGTTATTGTGAGAGTTAGATGGGACTCATGATTTAATTAAAAATGAACATCCTTTCTGGAGGAATGCAGCAAGAATCCAGTCCTCAAAGGACTAGGCTCCAAGGAACAGGATTTTATAACTCAAAGTTACAACACGCACAAGGAAAGAGGTCACCACAAGTGGGAACCAGCAGAAATGGCTGTATTAAACCTCTCAAGATTTTAGATACTGGAATTCGGGTGCATAATATAAACTAGTGACATTTGATATGTCAAAGGACACAAGAGTTCTTATTTAGGTCCTTCGCTTTATTGTTTCTGACCAGGAACAAGTGCTTTTCCTGCTATTTCTCAGACATCTACTCTAGATTGACCAAGAAAAACAATTTCTTCCTTTTAAGCATAATGTATCAGTCAGTACAGAAATGATTTCTTTAGGAACTGCCCTTCAGAAGCCTAGATAAACTCTTACATTCTCAACAGGTCATCATACCCTTACCCTGGCCCCAACCTGCCTTTAAGTTCAAGCATAAATTCAGCATTGTCTCAGGGGCAGGAATGGAGACAACTTCAGTGGCTTTTCAAATATGCCCAGAATCTGTGATAATGTGTGGACCTTTGTATTGATTAATGGATTCACGAAGTGACAAAACTTACTGAAGCAGATAACATGAAAATTATGGCCTGTGGTGGCATTATTTCGTGAAGAGAAGCTTTTAATATGTGTTCCAGCAATGCAAAACTGATCACATCATGCTATGTTAGGGGGCAATTCCAGGAGAAAGAAGCTAATAATTTTACATAGGCTTTTATGTTAACTCTGATCTATGGCAAGAAGAAACAAGCCATTATTCATTGACAAATCAAAAGTTATCTTAAGATCTTGTTGTTGTTGTTTAATCAATAAATCATAGTCTGACTCCTTGCAACCCTATGGACTGGTAGCCCGCCAGGCTCCTCTGGCCATGGGGTTTCTCTAGGCAAGAATACCGAACTGGGTTGCCATTTCCTACTCCAGGGTATCTTTCCAACCCAGCTATAGAACCCATATCTCTTGCATCTCCTGCATTGGCAGGTAGATTCCTTACCACTAATCTAGAAAATGTATTCTGAAACTTGAAAAATGAATAAATTTAAAAAAATGAATTTGAGCAAAGAATGCGAGGGTATTAAAATGAGTAAGCAAAATTGTAAAATAACCAAATATAAGATCTAAAACTGGGAAGCATAATGAAAATTTAAAGCTCAATGAAAGGATTAAACAGGAGATTCAGACAAAACTAAAAAAGAGAATAAGACTGCTGTTTGAAAAAAGTGGAGACGTTATTCAACTGCAGTGAAGAAAGACAAAAAAAATGAAAACTATGAAAATTGTTCAAAGACATGGGGGAATATTTAAAAGTCTATAAGTGTAATAAGAGGTCCAAAAGGATGTAATAAGAGAGAATGGGCAAGAAGCAATCTTTGAGGAGATCCTGACTGAGAATTTTCTAGAATTAATGAAAGACACCAAATATAATATCAAGGAAGCCCAACCAATTCAAGGTGAAATTAATATTTTTTAAAAACCCTACATAAGTACTTCAATGTGAGACTGTAGATTACCAAAAATGAAAATCTTAAAATTAGCTGCAGAGCAAAGACAGAATTTTATTTAAAAAAAAAAAATGTCTAGGCTGGTGGCTGACCATGCAAGACCAAAAATGAAGCTAGGACACAATGGGATAATATTTTCAATAAATTTACAGAAAATACGTTATCCTAGAATTCTATCTTCCACAAATTGATTTTTTTTTTTTAAGAATGAAGGCAAAATACATGCATTTTCAGACAAAGAAAGAGAGTTTCATCAAAAGAACCTTTCAATGAGCCTTCTCATGGCTGTACTTCAGAGAGCAAGTCAGTAATGTAGGAAGATGGAATGAGTAAAGATGTTGGTAAATTTAACTAAACAGTGAGTATATAAAAATAAAGTATAATTTGTGGAATTTAGATAAGTAATAGAAAAAAAATAAATAAAAAATAGATAAGTAATAGAGTGCAACTGAAATTACTTGGAATTATAGGATATAATTTGATGGATAAACAGGTGAGATCAAGCTATTGTGAAGTCCTTGTATTGGTTGTGAAAAGAGTAACAGTACTGATTAGTTTCTTTTAAGAATGTTTTTAAGAATAGCTATGGTTAACTATTAGAACAGAAGACTTAGATAGCACAACATCCAAATTAGCAGAAGGGAAAAAAATGGAATAGGAAAAAGGAAAAATAAAAGAAAAGATGAAAAAAAAAATTTCAATCCAAAAGCAGGTAAGAAAGAAAAACAAAAAGAACAAATAAAAGCTCACAATAAAATGGTACAAATGAATTCAAATATAGCACAGTAGACATTAATGAGGAAACCCCCCCAGTTAAAAGAAAGATATTAAGGTAGATAAAACATTCAGTTCCATGCCAGTTATGAAGATCTCCTCTAATACAAAGGCACAGAAAGATCGAAAGCCAGAGGGTAAGATAAGAGACACCAGGCAAATGTCATACAAAGGAAACTGGTTTCATTATATTAATACAAGACAAAACACACTTTAATACAAGAAATATAGCTAGTGATAAAAGATTTTTAATGTGTGGCTAAAATATTCAATTTTCCAGGAAGATATAAAAAGTCAAACTCTGTATGATCATATAACATAAAATAAATGAAACAAAAAGTGACAGAAGTACAAGAAGTTGACACTCTACCATCAAAGTGCAAGATTTTTAACACAGTTATCTCAGTAATTGATAAATTAAGCAGACAAAAAAAAATGGCAGTGAGGTTGTAGTGGATTTGAAGAAAACAAGTTTGATCCAATAAGCATGGACAGAACATTATACCCAACAGTTATAGAATGCATATTCTTTTTAAATGTGCACAAAATATTTATAAAAACTGACCAAATTCAACAAATTCCAGAAGTTTGTTATTATGTATATCACTTTATCTGACTGCAATGGAATTGTTAGAAATTAACAGAAATGTAACTAGAAGAATCCATGTTTTAAGATTTAAAAAATATAAGCACATCTTAATGGATATTAAAAACATTTAGAGCTTTATTATAAAGAAAATCTACATACTAAGACCTGTGAGATGTAGATAAAATTGTACTTAGAAGGGAATTTACAACTTTAAGTGTTATATTAAAAAAGATGAAGACTCAAGATGAATAAGCATAGCACACATCTTAAGTTAGTCAAAGAACAGAAAATAAACCCAAAGAAAGTTAATGGAAATAATAAACACATAAGAAAAACTTATCAAAATAAAAATCAAATTATAATAAGTAAGATCAATGGGTTCATAAGGTAACTCTTTGTAAAACACTTGTAAATCACTTGGAAGATTAAGAAGCCAGAAAGCATGATAGAAATGAATAGAAATCTAAAGAAGAACATCCCTAATACATAAACAATTAAGAGAATAATACAAATTTCATGATAATAATATGAAGATTTACATTAAATGGATTCATCTCTAGAAAAATATGACTTAGGAATAGAAATTAATATTTCTAGAAACATTAGAAAAATTATAGGTAATAATCCTGCCATGAAGAAAACACCAAGCCAGGTGGCTCAATAGGAGATTTAAATCAAACTTTCAAGGATCAGCGAATTTCAATCTTACACCAACTCTTACAGAGAATAAACAAGAAGGATTACTTCCTAACACATTTTTGGAAGCTAGCAAAACCACAGAGCAAGATCAGACAAAAACAATATAGAAAGGAAAAACTGAAAGCCAGTTTCAGCAAACACAGACATGTCAGTCCTATATAAAATATCTGCAAACGAAATCAACCAATGGATATATTGAAAAAGACAATATTTTTTGTGTGGCTTATCTTAGTAATGATAGATTGGTTCAGTATTAGAAACCAAAAAATTCATTCACAGCTTTAACATATTGAGGGAAAAAATCCAGAATTATGTTAATGACATTAGAAAAGGCACTCGAGAAAATGTTATAACCATTTATGCTAAATCCTCTTAACAAATTAGAACTAGAAGTTTACATCTTTAATCAGATAAAGAGAATCCATAAAAAAACTCACAGAATATTATACCACATAATGAAATGCTGAAAGTATCCCCTTAAAGGTCAGGAACAAGACAAGGACTTATTATCACTTTATCCGATGTTACACTGACATTCCTAGTCAGGGTGATCAGATAAATAGTGATAAATGCATAAAAAAAACCTGGGAAGGAAAAAATAAAATTTCCATGAATTTGTAGATGATGATTATGTACATGGCAAACCCCGAAGAGTACACAGATAAATTATTAGAATTAACAAGCTACTTAGTAGAGCTGCTTGATACAAAATCAGTGTACAAAAATCAATTCATTTCTGTGGAAAATGTGATTCTGAAATATGATTTATACTAGGAAAAAAAAATAAAATATTAAGGAATAAATCTTAAGATGTGAAAATGCTTTTAAAGGTAATGATTATAAAGTTTCATTGAAAGACATTAAAGAAGATAAATGGTGAGATAATATGTTCTTAGGAATACTTAATACTATAAAGAAGAAAATTCTACTCAAAATGATCTACAGTCATGGCAAATATAATCAAAGTCTCAATGGAATCTTTTTTTCTACAAACTGATTTTTAATGTATGTAAAATAATAAGGGCCGAGAATTGTTGAGACATTCCTAATGAAACTGAAAAAGGTGGGGGCTCCACTGCCAGATGTCAAGATTTATTGTTATAGTTCAGTCACTAAGTTGTATCTGACTCTTTTCCGCCCCATGGACTATAGCCTTCCAGGCTCCTCTGTCATGGGATTTACCAGTCAAGAATACCGGAGTGGGTTACCATTTCCTTCTCCAGGGGGTCTTCCTGACCCAGGGATCAAACCCGAATCTCCTGCATTGGCAGGCAGATTCTTTGCCACTGAGCCACCTGGCAAGCCAAGATTTATTACAGAGCTATGATAATTAGGACAGTTTCATATTGAGGCAGGGACAGACAAAAAGCTACTTAACACAAAAAGTAAAACTTTTAGGTAAGGATATAGGAGAGTATCACTAGGATCTCAGGACAAGAAAGTGTTGATTTAACAAGAGAAAAGAAGACAACACAGGGGGAAAGATGAACACATCTGGTTACATAAAAATGAACCCTTCATCAAAATATACCATAAATGCAGAGGGGAGACAGGCTGCAAAATGGGAGACTAAATCTGCAATATATACAACTACCAAAGAATCAAAATATGTGTGACTTCCAAATACGAAAAAGGAAAAGATATAGTCCAATAAAAAATGGTCAAGGGCTATGAATAACCAAAGAAGAGGAAACATAATGACTCATCCAAAAACACAGAAAGATGAGCTACTTTATTCATAGAGTAATGCAAAATATTTATCACTGTGAGATACCACTAAGCTCCCACCAGAAGGGCCAGCACTAAACAGTTTGTATCAAAAGGTGCCGAGGATGTGGGGCTCCAGGCATCTCCGCACATGCCTGAGGCATCTGGCAAGGAGTTTGCATTTCTGTGCGCTGACCCTGCAAGTTCACTCTCAGGCATACACCCTAGAGGCATGCTGGCCTGCGTACACTGTGACCTCTGTATAAGAGAACTGATCGCAATCCTGCTGGTATTAGTGAAGCCATGTGAAACAGCCATGTCAGCCACTGAATGGATAGATAAATTGTGGCATATTCAGATGATGCGATACTCTGTAGCAGTGAAAGGGAAGGAACTACTGCTACACTCTCAACATGCATGAATCTCAAGCATCAGCGCTGAGTCAGACAGACAGGACACAGACAGATATACAGTAATACAACATTGTTTCATTTTTATAGCTTTAAAATGCAAATCTCGGTATATGTGTATCTGTGTGTACAAATATATATACATATACATGCATATATAAGTCATGAAAAAAACTGGGAAGGATAAGGTTACATTTAGGGCAGAGATAACAACTGGCAGGGAGGAAGAGGGGTTTAATCAGGGAAGAGTCCATAAAGGAATTTTACTTTATTTTTCACACTGTTTAAAACTTATTTTTATTTTTTTTACACTTTTAATTTTGTATTGGAGTATAGGAAATGGCAACCCACTCCAGTATTCTTGCCTGTAGAATCCCATGGACAGAGGAGCCTGACAGGCTACAGTCCATGGGGTCACAAATAGTCGGACAGGACCGAGCGACTAACACACACTACAGTCAATTAACAATGTTGTGAGAGTTTCAGGTGAACGGCCAAGGGGCTCAGCTGCACATATACATGTATCCATCCTTCCTCAAACTCCCCTCCCATCCAGGCTGCCACATAAGATTGAGCAGAGTTTCCTGTGCTATACCGTAGGTCCTTGTTGGTTATCCATTTTAAATATAGCAGTGCATACAAGTCCTTCCATAAGGGAATATTAAAATGTAGCTAGTGTCCTGTTTCTTCGCTGGATAAGGAAAATATGAGAATTTAATATTTTTCTCTAAATCTTATGTATATTACATTTTATAATAAAACTTCTTGAAGAGAGGGGATGGAAGACAAAATAAAGTGCAGGGACCAAGTATAGAGACACCTATTGGGACACTGTGCTATGAAGGAGGTGCAGAGACAGGGCGCCACAGCGGAAGGACTTCTGGGACTGTGTTCCTTCCTTTCCTTTTTTTTTAAGAGGCCGGATAGGACAATATACTTGCATGATGGGGAGAATGAATGAAGGGAGTGTTTAAGGAGGTCAGTCTTCGACTAGATAAGAAGGAGGAGGCTACAGTTAGAAAAGCAGCTTATCCACTATAAGAGAAGAGGTAGTTGAACGTACAGCTTCAAATGCAGGTAGGTCGGTAGATTTATTGGTGGAAAGCTGAGTTAGTTCTCTGGTGATTGGTTCTCATTTTTCCAGGGAAATGAGAGGCGAGGCTAAAAGGGCAGAGAAGATATTTGAGGTTTAAGGCAAGAGAGGAAAAAAAGCATCTGGAGGAGTCAGGAAGCATATATGAAAATGTTCAGGGCCTGCTTGAAGTTTCTGTTCATAAATTTAACCTGAGATTGGTCGGAATACTGGTGTTTTTTCCTTCATCAAGGATGAAGTGCTCGGGTACAGAGGTGGAGTGCTGAGTTCAGACAGTCAGGGTTTTACAAGGTGGGGACAGGGCTGGGGAGCAAGGGTGATAAACACTGAGCTGTCCTGATCAAGTGTTGGGAACAGTGGATAGGAAATACTGATGGATCTGAAGAACTTTGCACAGCAGCGCTGCCAAGTAAGAGAGCTGGAAAGACACCAGGTGGTGGTCAGGGGATAGAATGCTTCATCCTGAGATTCTGAAGGGGAAGCATGAATTTGCTCAACTGTCCCTCCACTCCACTGAGAGCACAGCACAGAACAGAGGGGCGGGGAGGGCAAGGCATTGGAGAGAGAGGTCGAGAAACAAGAGGCAGCTGTGATGAAGACACCCTGTGGATGCTGAGTCACTGAGGATGATTATCAGCAGAAGGATGGGAGAGGGAGACTGAGCCGGACAACGTGACCCGCAACGAAGGGGAGGCATGACTAAGAGCTTGGCCAGTGACTGCAGCCGAGACAGGTGGCAGTCGGTACCGTCTGGTAGAACTCAGCGGAGATGGCGATTTTGAGAGAGGACAGGGGTGGAGCAGTCTGGAGGCCACACTGAAGGGCAAGTGTATCTCATCTACCTTTAGGCCCAGTGGCAGGCTTTGAGAGTTTAGTGCTGGGCTGGTGGAGCTGGGAGGGGGTCCAAGTCCCTGGGGGAACAGGCAGAGTTTCAGATCCAGCCAGTTGTATAGCTAGAGTTCTGAGAAGGACAATGTTTGGGAGGGGTCAGAGCAGAAGGTAGTATTCATCACAGGACAAGTCCACCCAGAAGAAAACACCCTCTTCGTTTGTCTGTCAGGGGATCACTGATTCCTTATAAGCCAGCACTCTATTGCTCGTGTTCTATGGGAACAAGGACCTGGTCTTCAAGGTCGCACCCAGGCTCAACCCTGATGGTGTCTACCTGGGCAATTACACGTGCTCTCTGATGGGGTTCAACCTGAACTGTCACTGGCTGCATCCCTCTCCATGTGCCCACCCCACCCTGCATGGGGTGAAGCAGCTCATCATCCAGATGTACCAAGCCCCAGAGCCGCAACTACTGACGCCTGCACATCCTAGAGCCCGTGCCCTGCAACGAGAAGCCACTGCAGTGAGAAGCCCTCCCACTGCAGCCGGAGAGCAGCCCCCACTCTCCGCAACTAGAGAAAAACCCTGTACGGCAATGAAGACCCAGCACTGCCCTGAATAAATAAAAAAATAAAATCACAAGGAAAAAAAAGGCATCAGGGGCGCGGAGGTTTAGGGACTTCCATGCCGCACGGCTGGATAATCTGAGACAGGGAGTAAATGGGAGAAATAAAATCTAAGAGGCCCATTAGACACCCTCTGCTTCTCAGGCTTAAAGAGATTTCACAGTCAGAGTTGTGCAGGGAGGGTTGACCTGCTATTATTGTCTCGAATAGTATTTACCGCGTACTGAGTGCCTTTTGGACACTGGGCGCTGGATAGAAAACAAAACAGGAAGAGGCCAGGTCTGATGGACAAACGAGAGCACAGGACTAATGGTAATGCTGGTGTCCAAAGGCTTGGAACCTCCATCTAGCTGTTCTAACATTTCATTTAACCAGTGAACCTATGGGGGGAAATGTCAAATCGATTGAAAACATGGTGTTCCCGACAGCCCAGGAAGCTGGAAGAAAAGCTAGAAGGATCCTGTTACCTGTCAGTGACATGGTCCACGAGATGCTGTTTGAACATGAGGCTCCACTTTTTGATTATATTCAGCAGAGAGGCTTTAAAGGGCCGCGCGTCGATCTTCATCCAGCTGTCAAACACCTGGACGGGCTCCAGCCTGCACACGTCCTCATGGAGCTTCTCGTAGGAGTCAATCTGCGCTCTGAACTGATGCAGGAGGGGAGGATTCTCTGGGATGCCGTCCTCGGCGTGGGCTTCCACCTCCTCGGCAGTGAGCATGCGCCCGTACAACAGAAACTGGCCCAGAGCCTCCTTGCGGTCCTCCGTGTAGAGGCAGGAATACTGGCTGAGAGTGCGCCGATAGTCGCCGCAGAGGGCCATCATGGCCTGCACCCGCCCCATCAGCTCGCCCCGCAGGCCCGCCAGCTCAGCCATGGCCTCCAAGTCCACCTAGGGGAGCAAGATGGCAGTGGATGGGTGACACTGGCATTTCACAGGGGCCGCCAGGTCTGGTGGGAGGGCAGCGGAGATGCTTGCAGAGCCAGTACCTGATAGTGGGGAGAGCCATTCTCAGGAGAAAGCCGGGGCACCAAGGATGCGATGCTAAAGATGCTGGTGACGAGGCCCTCCACCAGGTCATAGAAGCCGCCCTTCACACCAGGCTCCAGCGACGGACAGAAAACCAGTTCTGGGATGGCTAAGCTCAGCTGGGCTTCAAATATCGGGGTGAGTCCTGCCTTACATTCTGAAATACAAAGAAAACAAACAGAAGAGAGTGGGTAAGTGGCAAAAATGCGACACTGATTTGAAAGCGCTCTGAGCGTTTCTTTCCTTTAGAGTTGCTGTTCCAGTCTGGGGAAATAGAAATATAGACTTTGCTAAAACCCCAGAAAAGGTGAAGGTGGCAGTCCTGCAGTGTTTATCAACAGGCAGACGGGCCGCTGGCATTTTGAACAGGCTGATCCCCTGTGCACGGCTGTCCTGGGATTGCTGTTGTTGCCCAGTTGCTCAGTTGTGTTCCCTTTGCGACCCCATGGACTGCAGCCCGCAGGCTTCCCTGTCTTCTACTATCTCCTGAAGTTTGCTCAGATTCATGTTCATTGAGTCGAGGATGTCATCCAACCATCTCATCCTGTGGTCCCCTTATCCTCCTGCTCTCAATCTTTCCCAACATCAAGGTCTTTTCCAATGAGTCGGCTCTTCACATCAGCTGGCTAAAATATTGGAGCTTCAGCATCAGGGCATGGCAGGGCATTTACTCTCCTTGTCCTCAGAGGGCACGTCCTGTGACTGAGCAACCCAAGCCGGAATGCTTCCACACTCCCAAAGCTTCCCGTGGGGCAGTACGGCCTCTGGTTGAGAAGACGTTGGTTTTGCAAAGCCAGTTTCTTGGAAGCCGCGGACATCATCTTGAGCACAAACCAGGCAGTTCCAACGGCAGCCACTAGGGGAGCAAGGGTGTGCTTGTCCAAGGTCGTGTAGGCTTGGAAAAAAAAGAGCAGTCACAACCCCTCCCCTTCTGCTCCTTTTCTGACTTGCTTTAATTCTGTAGTCCTCTAGCGATAAAATTTTTAAAAACAGTATAAATAATTAACAAATCCCTGATTACTTGCTAGACTAAACTGCCTTGCTAAATTTAAATCAAAATATAATATGGAACAAGATGTTCCAAGTACAAGATAAATGCTTAGACTCTTATTAATAACCACTTATTTTCTTATACATATATATTTTAGGTAAGAAGTGGATTTATTTCTTTAATTTTTTAACTGGAGGATAATCATTTTACAATGCTGTGTTGGCTTCTTCTGTACCACACAAATCAGTCATAAATATATATGTGTGTGTATGTATATATATGTGTATATCTATCTATCTATCTATCTATCTATATATATATAGATATAGATATAGATATAGATATAGATATCTCCCCTCCCTCACGAGCCACCCTCTTCTCAAGAAGTAGATCTATTTAGAGAGAAATACAGTCCACAGACAGAGTTTGGGCCTTTGCAGAAAGTGAGTGTTGTGTCGCTCAGTCGCTTCAGCCGTATCTCTTTGTCAGCCTATGAACTGTAGCCCACCATGCTCCTCTGTCTATGAGATTCTCCAGGCAACAATGCTGGAGTGGGCTGCCACGCCCTCCTCCAGGGGATCTTCCTGACCCAGGGATCAAGCCCGCGTCTCTTACATCTTCTGCTTGGCAAGCGGGTTCTTGACAACTAGCGCCACCTGGGAAACTCCACATGAGACCATAACCCCTATGTCAGACGTGATACCAACACAATTACTGTACAAAATGGGTGGTCCTGGTGGTTCCACATCCTTGGCACAAGCGAATCTCTTTAAGAGTTGAGAAGAGGAAGAATGTTTCCGGGCGGAGTGGGTAGCAGTTAACCCAGGCAAGGTCTGGATTCTGAGAGGTGGCTGGGAAGCTAGACCAAGCCATGGGAATGGTACTGGTTTGACCAAGTGCGAGAGGTGGGAATAGTAAGGTCGACCAGGTGATTGAAGTTGTCCAGCTGGGCTGTGGTGAAGGGTCATGGAGACTTTCCTCTTAGAGGCCATTCTCTTCAGGCTCCTTCACTTCCCCGTGATAACCAGCGCCTCTTCATTTCACCCATAGCTCCTCCACCCATACTTCCATACTAAGGCCAGCTCCTACCCCTTCACTGCTGATATATTGTGAAGGGAACGTCTTCTGTTCCTCCTGCTTCCATGGAGGGAAGATGACTTTGGCTACCATCCCCTGTCCTCACCCTCTTGCTCCCAGGCTCTCCTTCCCATGAGAGGAGGACAAGTGACACATCAGACAGTCCAGATCCGGAGAGCTGGACAGACTCTGACTCAGGGCAAGTCCCTTGTGCAGCGCCTGCACGCAAGTGTGGCTGAAGCATCTTCCTAGAACTTCTAGAGGAGAGCTGAATGACGAGTCTCCGAGCTCTACTATGAGACGAGATTGAGTCAGTTCACTAAGATGAGTGCCATCGGCACTGGTCCCTAGGAATCAGCTCTCCAGTCTCGGCACTCGAGTTCAATGCCCGAGGTTCTAGAAGGTGATCTCCCACCTTGTTGACTAGGCCTGAGCCCATTTCCTGCTTCTGTGTCTCCTTGTACTGTGAAAGCAGCGACCTTGCCTCTGACCTGTCACTCCACCTACTAGGACCACGGGGTAGAGCTACCGCCAGCGCTGGCCTTGCTCCTCTCTGCGTCATCAGCTTCTTACAGGGGCTGGCTATCCAGACACTGGTCTCAGCCCACCTATTCTAACTCTGCATTTAATTTCCTTGGGTTCTACTCAGCGCCTTAAGCTCTCATCTCATCTCATCCTCACCTCTTCCTTCAGCCGTGCTGAGCATGTCAGAATCTACCAGAATGTGAAAGGCTTCTCCCCTTTCCATCCCATCATTTACTAACCAAAGTTAGCCTTTACTATAAAATCTTTGGCCCTGTGTATCGACCATAAATTTGAAACCCTGAGCTCTCTTTTAACAGCTTCAAAGAATGCCCACTGCCTCCTTAATATACCTTTCCCTTCTGAAAGCTATCTCATCCCCAGCTTCTTGTCTCTCTTTTTTTTTTTTACACAGAAAAACATCTGTTTCTTCTACATAAGCCAGCTGCTACAAACACCCTGTGTTCTCAAAAGGCCATGGAGATAGAGCATATTCGGCTTAAACCATGAAATTTATTTTGGCCACACCATAAGGTCTGTGGGTCTCAGTTCCCCAACCAGGGATCAAATCCATGCCCCCCCACACTGGGAGTGCAAAGTGTTAGTTACTGACTTCCAGGGAGGTCCCTAGAGTAAACTGGCTTTTACGTTTTTACCTTGGTTATGGGTTTCACTGTGTTAGAGCCTGGTTTATCATCTGAGTTTTGAAGAGGGAGAAGTGTTTTATCTTTGAACAATTTAGAGACACAATGCCTTCTTTATTTTACTGTGTACACTTCACAAAATGTTCACGCCTTTTGGGAAAAGTCACAGAGCACTCAACGGCACTTCACTGTAACTCAACAGATGCTATGACTGCTACCTTCCCAGTAATAACCACATCCATAGGCCAGTAAATACCAGTATTTTCCAGGAGGTACTTGAGGGAACACTCAATGGCAAGAAAGAATCCATCCAGCAACATATCATCAATGTAGTTAACATAAGTCTTCCAGATATCAGAAGTTGAATCTGCTGAAAAAAGACGCAGGTTTTCCTACAAAATAAAGAAGAGCAGATATAAACCACGTTTAATAATATGGAAGGACTGTTCTCATCATCATGAATGGGAACGAAGGCAACACATAGAGAAAAATTGCACTGTTATGGAGAGTCTTCTATTACAGGCAGACCTTGGCTATATTGCAGGTTCAGTTCCAGACCACTGTAATAAAGCCAATATTGCAATAAAGTCAGTCACACAAAGTTTTTGGTTTCCCAGTAATGTTTACACTATACTTTAGTCTATTAAGTGTGCAATATTATGTCTACAGAAAGAATATTCATATCGTAATTTAAAAATACTTTATTGCTAAAAATGCTATCTATCACCTGAGCCTTCAGGAAATCATAATCTTTCCACAATAGTATCAAAGATCACAGATACAAAGTATGATGATAATGAAAAAGTTTGAAATATTGTAAGAATTGCCAAAAATTTGACAAGAGAAAAATTGCATGGATAGACTTTTCTCAGTGCAAGGTTGCAATAAACCATCAATTGAAAAAAAAAAATGCAGTATCTGTGAAGCATAATAAAGCTTAAGCACAATGAAATGAGATATGCCTGTACACGTGTGTCAGATCCATTCTTATCTAATGTGTGTAACCCTTGCTTGAAAGGAACACAAAGTTAACCCATGAAGGAAATGTGATGTTGCAACTCTCCCTGAGAAAGGAGGATGGTGTCAGGCCAGCTTCTCAGGAGGGATGCTGACGGATGCGGCGTGTGCCTCATAGATGCTGACTGACACTGCAGAGGAAACTACATCAGAGCAGAAGGTAGGGTGGGTGGAAGAATGAATACAAAGGGTAGAGAGCATTACAGTTCATGACATAAGAAATCTGGGTTCAAGCAACTAAAGCATTTCCTAGAAAAGGAGAAATATTTCTTTCTAAGGAGAAATAAACTGGTGTGAATCCCATCCCTGGGTATATACCCAGAAAAAGCTCTAATTCAAAATGATCCAGGCACCTCAATGTTCATAGCACCACTATTCACAATAGCCAAGACAGGAAACAACCTAAGTGTCCATTGACAGATGGATAAAGAAATATATATATATATATATATATAATCATATATATAATGTTTATCAACCTATATAATGGAATACTACTCAGTCATAAAAAAGAATGAAATAATGCTATTTGCAGTAACATGGATGAGCCTAGAGCCAATCATACTAAGTGAAATAAGTCAGAAATAGCAATACAAATACCATATGATATCACTTATATGTGGAATCTAAAACATGACACAAGTGAACTTACCTACAAAACAGAAACAGACTCACAGACACAGAGAACAGAACTGTGTGGTGCCAAGGGGGAGTGGGTGGGGGGAGGATGAGTGGGAGTTCATGGTTAGCAGGTGCAAACTATTATATAAAGGATGGATGAGCAACAGGTCCCACTGTACAGCACAGGGAACTTATTCAGTCTCCTGTAATAAGCCATAATGGAAAAGAATATGAAATAGAACATGGACATATAACTGCATCACCCTGCTGTATAGCAAAAACTTAACACAACATTGTAAATCAAACATACTTCAATAAAATAAATAAAAAGGGAAATGAGTTTGAGAGTATTGTTGGTATTTAACTAAAAACGTTTATCATACTGAGTGGCTTGGAAAATGCACACACAGAAACAAACACACAGGCTCTCCCTCCCTCTTTTTATGTACAGTCCCCGACCTGGCAGTATGGCAAGTATAGATGTCCCATTTACTCACCATCATTTTCATCATTCAGCCTTTTTTACAGTAACTTTCCATTTATCTTATATCTTCAAAAAAAGTGGCTACCACTTTGCAAAAGTAAATGTTCTAGGTGACTCACACTTACCTCTTTAAGAAACACTGCCATGTTGTAAATCTCATTTTTCTGCTTTTAAATGTCAAAACTCTAAGATTTTCTAAAATGCATTACCTACACCTTTCCTTCCTAAGAAGATTAAAGATTTAATGGGAGTCCATCATCTGCAAATGATAGCACAGTGACAATGCCAAGTTGTTCTTAGGTCTTACCAAGATGTTCACGTCTGTTTGCTTCTACAGTTAAAAACTCATAGTTGTTATAACTGCCTTGTATAGCTGTTCTATCTCTGTTATACTGTCACTCTATCAAGATAGCTAATTGTACCTTTCTACATCAAATCTACTATGGCACAAGGAGCAAACATGTTGGAATTTTCTATAAACCAGGAAAAATTAGCTCAAGTTTCTGATACTAGCCAAGACAGAAGAATGAGATCAGACTTTCCCTTTTTCTACAAACAACTATAGAATTGGATATAAGAAATAATTATTTGGGTAACTGGATAAGAGTATTGGGATATGATCTCTAAGAGAAAGGAAAATGCAAGGTGAGCTTCACGATGACCTGACTTTCTACCTGGAGGCACTTTCCGAAGCATGGCATAGAGAAGTGGACATCAATTAGAGCACTCTTCCTGCTGGACAGAAAAAGACAGAAATTGGGATTTGCTGAGGCGGCTGAGTCCTCTTGGGTCTCCGACTGAGCATTAAAGCTGTACGTATTTAGGGCAAGATTCTGCAAGGCTAGGCAGAGAACAGTTACTGGAGACTCTAAGTTGAATGGGTTTGTGAAGGTCATATAGTGCTGGAAAATGTTAGTGTTTTATCAGCAATAATGAAACGATAACAGATAACCCAGGACTTCAGCTGAGACCCCAGAAATGCAATGCTTTAGAAGTAGAGCTCTATTCTAGAGTAAGGCTTCTTTAGACTCTCCCCAAGGAAGCTTAAAATAAGGCTTCAACAGGATCAATCTGAATACTAGTGAGTTAACTGCCTGCTAAAACAAAACCACCAATTCTTTAAGAAAATATAACACCCAGATTACAAAGTGGCATCCAACATGACTAGAATATAACAAAAAATTACTAGACATGCTAAGAAGCAGGAAAATGTGACATTTAACCAAGAGAGAAAATAGTAAAAACAGACTTAGAAAATAACTGTCATACCAATCCTTGGATGTTTATTCCTTAGACTTATTTTATGAGAAAAAAATAAACTTCCTTCACATTAAAAAAGACTCAGAAAATAAAATAGATGTTGGAATTAGCAGATGAGAATATTATAATTTTATTAAAAACTCCTCAAATTTGGTGAAAAACAGATTAAAAATATCACAAACTTCAAGCAGTCTGAATACAAAGAAAACTTACTTATGCACATCATGGTTAAATGGAAAAAAACACAAAGAATTTATTTAAAATTTTATTTAGAATCTATTGAAAGTAGCCTGAGAAAAAACAATACATTACATATAAAGGGGAAAAGATATACATTTTGCTGGCTTGTCATCAGAAAGTCTGGAGGATAGAAGATTATGAAATGACTTCCGAAAGGAAATTAGAACTGTCTACACAGAATTTTATATTCTGTGAAACTCTTCTTCAAAAACAAAGATGAAAGAAGGACACTTTCAGAATAAATAAAAACTGATAGGTTGTGTCATCCGCAGATCTGAACTGCAAGAAATACTAAAGGAAGTTCTTTGGGCCAAACAGAAATGACCATAGATGTTAATTCAATTCTGCAGAAGTGAAAAACAAGCCTGGAAATGGTGACTATGTGGGTAAATACAAAACACTATAAAGATTTTCCCCAAAAGTTTTGAAAACACAAGATTATAATATTCTATTGTGGGGTCATCTTATACACACACATGCACATACACAGCAACACCACAAAAGATGGCTGGGCAGGTTGAATTGTTGCCAGGCTCCCATGTGTGCTGTTTATTTCCTCTGCCTACAATGGAATTAAACTGTATCAATTTCATTAAGCTACCCAGGTGGTAGCTTACTTTGAGCAAAGTAATGCTCAAAATTCTCCAAGCCAGGCTACAACAGTATGTGAATCGTGAAATTCCAGATGTTCAAACTGGATTTACAAAAGGCAGAGGGACCAGAGATCAAATTGCCAACATCCATTGGATCATTGAAAAAGTGAGAGAATTCCAGAAACACATCTACTTCTGCTTTATTGACTATGTCAAAGCCTTTGACTGTGTGGATCACAACAAACAGTAGAAAATTCTTAAAAGAGATGGGAATAACAGAACACCTGACCTGCCTCCTGAGAAATCTGTATGCAGGTCAAGAAGCTACAGTTAGAACTGGACATGGAAAAAACAGACTGGTTCCAAACCGGGAAAAGAGTACGTCAAGGCTGTATATTGTCACCCTGCTTATTTAACTTATATGCATAGTACATCATGAGAAATGCTGGACTGGATGAAGCACAAGTTGGAATCAAGACTGCTGGGAGAAATATCAATAAGCTCAGATATGCAGATGACACCACACTTGTGGCAGAAAGTGAAGAACTAAAGGGTCTTTTGATAAAAGTGAAAGAGGAGAGTGAAAAAGTTGGCTTAAAACTCAGCATTCAGAAAACTAAGATCAAGGCATCCGGTCCCATCACTTCATGGCATATAGATGAGGAAACAATGGAAACAGTGACAGACTTTATTTTTTTGGGCTCCAAAGTCACTGCAGATGGTGACTGCAGCCATGAAATAAAAAACTTGCTCCTTGGGGGAAAAGTTATGACCAACCTAGACAGCATGTTAAAAAGCATAGACATTATTTTGCCAACAAAGGTCCGTCTAGTCAAAGCTATGGTTTGAGGTTTAAAGACCCTGATGTTAGGAAAGATTGAAGGCAGGAGGAGAAGGGGGTGACAGAGGATGAGACGGTTGGATGGCATTACCGACTCAATGGACATGAGTTTGAGTAAACTCCGGGAGTTGGTGATGGACAGGGAAGCCCTTCGTGTGCAGTCCATGGGGTCGAAAAGAGACAAGACTGAGTGACTGAACTGAACCCAGGTGCTGGAGGTGGTTTAGTCGCTGAATTGTCTCCAACTCTTTGAGACCCCATGGACTGTAGCCCACCAGCTTCCTCTGTCCATAGGATTTCCCAGGCAAGAATACTGGAATGGGTTGCCATTTCGTTCTCCAGGGGATCTTCCTGACCCAGGGATCAAACCTGCATCTCCTGCATTGCAGGCCGATTCTTTACCACTGAACCACCTGGGAAGCCTAAGCTATCCAGAGAAGTTACAAATACATGGAAATTAAACAATATACTCCTAAGTGACAACTGAGTTAAAGAACAAATCACAAGAGAAAAAGTTTAAAACTGAAACAATAATGAGAATGAGGCAGAACAAATTTGGGGAATGCAACTGAAGAAGTAGTATGAGGGAAATTTATATCATCAAATGTTTGTATTAGAAAGGAAGACAGGCTTGGAATCAATATGCTTAAGTTCCTACCTTCATAAGCTAGAAAAGAAGGATTGGGCAAAGTAGTCCCAAATCAACTAGAAAGAAAGAAATGATAAAGAATAGATTAGTAAACTAGAAAACAGATAAAGAAAATTTAAAAGGTCAAAAGTACAACATTTGACTGGTCTTCAAACCACAGAAAACCCAAAGATTACAATCCAAAGATAATAACTGTGATTCACTACACACTGTGTATGAGATCAACCCATGAGAACTGTCCCACGGCCTCTTCAGTAGGATTGGATCTGGTGGCCATTTATGACTTACAGTTCTTTTCCTTTGTCTATCTTGGGTGATAAGATACAAGGATTCCCTGCTCACAATGCAGGGCAGAGCCTTACTGCATGAAGGACATGCACGCTCAGTTGCTAAGTCACATCAGACTCTTTTGCAACCCCATGAACTGTAGCCCACCAGGCTCCTCGGCCCAAGGGATTTCCCAGGCACGAATACTGGAGTGGGTTGCCATTTCCTCCTCCAGGGGCTCTTCCTGAGCCAGGGATGGAACCTGTGTCTCCTGCATCAGCAGCTGGGATCTTCACCTCTGAGCCACTGGCGAAGAGCAGTGCTCTGCGTTTTTCCTTCTCTTTATCGAGTGCATCTTGTGTCTGTCCAAGCTCAGTAGGGCTAGGTCATGAAGACTGTACTGGAGGGCCACACTACGTTGTGTGGATGAGTTTGGGGTGGTTAGTGCAGTAGATAATTTAGGATTCTGCCCTTGGCATCTCCTTTTACCCCTTGGAGTTTTGTGTGCGATGACTAAGTGGTGTCACTATTAAGACAGTTTTAACGCTGACACGCTGATACCAGAATGTGACTTGGCACTGTTTCTATCCATTAGTTTCAGGTCTTCTGTTATCAGTTTTAATGTCTATCGGTGACTGCAGAAGACACGGCATCTATTGGTTGTTCTAATACCCAAATCACTTCTAGCACCCGAACACTCTCCTTGGCACTTTCCCTGGACTAGTGGGATGTGTGCCTGAGAGACTGGTTATTACCTGCACAAGGGCATGGATCTTCAGGCCAGATTCTTTGATGAGACGGTAATATTTTTCCACTCGATCATGCTGATCATCCATAGAGAGAAGGCATTCCTTTCTTCCATCTTTTCTCTTAAATATTGGCGACACCCATGTTTTCATGATGCTCTGAATCTCTTCCACATTGTCCTTAGTTTTCTGAACTCTTTGTTCGAGATCATGAATACTATTGGTGATCTGAATGACATAATCCCAAATACCTGCTCCCCAAAAGAAACAGCATTCATTAAAATAGCTTATAGTGGTAGAGCAAAAGGTGTGGTTGTTATACAAGATAGGGATTTCATACTTGTGGGTTTTATAAGACTTTTCTGCACAGGCCAGTTTGTCATCATCAGAGCTTTTTCCATCCTAGCTATATCATCAAGCCACCCCTTATGATAACCCTGGTTACGAGTTCTTTGAGGATGGGGGTGGTGTTCCCCTATAACTCACAGATCATAGTTTCCCCCACAGTTCTGCATATGGAACCCTGGGTGCATTTATCAGTCAACAAAAGTTTATGGAATTGAACTGGAGGATACAATGAAAGTAACTGCATAGTTCCCTTAAAGATGCTTATGGTCCAATTAACAAAAAGTCTTCCCTAGGGCTTCCCCTGTGGCTGAGCTGATAAAAAAATCTGCCTGCAATATGGGAGACCTGAGTTCTATCCCTAGTTTGGGAAGATCCCCTTGAGAAGGGAAAGGCTACCCACTCCAGTATTCTGGCCTGAAGAATTCCATGGACTATAAGTCCATGGGGTTGCAAAGAGTTGGACACGACTGAGTGACTTTCACTTTCACTATGAAAAAGTAATGAAAATAGAAAGAAGAAAAAAATAAACTACCCAGATTCTACTACTTGAAAAAAAAAAAAAAAGAGAGTGAGTTACAGTGATGTGTGCTGTGCTGTGCTAGTCCCTCAGTCATGTCCGATTCTTCTGTGACTCAAAGGACTGTAGCCCACCACGTTCCTCTGTCTACGGGATTTACCAGGCAAGAATACTGGTGCGAGTTGCAATTTCCTTCTCCAGGGACTTCTTCTTCCTGACTCAGGGATCAAACCCGTGTCTCTTGCATCTCCTGCACTGGCAGGCTGATTATCACTGTGCCACCTAATATAGTGTGATTCCTCCTCCGTGGAGTGCCTGGTATATGCTGGAGACTATGGATGAGTTCATGCAAACCCCCGAGACTGCGGTAGCAAAGATGTCCAAACCTCCCAGCCACACAGAGGAGGCAGAAGAGGGACCCCATTCCTCCATGTCCTCTCTGCTTTGGATGCATATGCGAGAGCACACAGTCATGCTTCAAACCTGAATCAGGTTAACCCGGGAGTAAAGTGAGGTTCTACCAGCTTTATTAGAATCTTGACTCTCAGCCTTTTCCCCAGACTCCCAGGGGAGCCCTGTTACCTTCTGTCTTCCAGCTCAGAGTCTCCTCTGCAGCTCTCAGGCGGAGATCGATATCTTGCAGCTCTTCCTGAACTAATGGAAATTCCACCTCGAGCAGAGTTTTCATAACCTTGTTGTACCACGTTGCCGTCAACTCTAAATGAGCCACGAGCTGCCGGTAGAACTCCCTGGAGGAGAACATGGCTGCTGCCGTCTCGGGGATGTGAGTCATTTGCTGGGGTTGAAGATAACTCATTTCTCTCAGCACGGAAACCAGCTGGAGAAAAGAGTCGACATGAGCGCCTGTGGTTCAGGGACATTGAATAGCAGTAATAGAGGTCAGGACCGGGAAACCCCAGGGGCTTGAGGGCCTTCTGGGTCTCTTTTTGACTTCTGCTTCTACTGGTTCCTTACATCTTCTCTGAGAGGGAAAATTGAGTATCAGGCAAAAGGAAGATGATCAGGAAGCACTAAGTCACAAAGGGTAAGAAGAGGAAAACCCGAGAAAGAAGACACCAGCGATAGTCAGGGAGGGCTCTAGTTTAATGCTTCTGGGCATGTGGATGATGAAAGCAGGGGCTTCCATAGTGGCTCCAACAGTAAAGAATCTGCCTGCAATGCAGAGAACTGGGTTTGATCCCTGAGTCAGGAAGATCTCCTGGAGAAGGGCATGGCAACCCACTCCAGTGTTCTTGTCTGGAGAATCCCATGGACAGAGGAGCCTGGTGGGCTATATTCCCATGGATCGCAAATTATCACTTTCCATGATGAGAACAGTTGGTCCCTGGTTTCGGAGTCATGCTTTGTGTCGGGGGTTGGGGGGTGGAAAGGGGTGGTCAGGGGAAGGATTAGGATCACCCACATACATGAGGACCATCTTCCCCCTCCCCACAAGGTCAGACACGTGGTCACAGACACTGGCAGAGTTGAGAGGAGGTACCCATTGTACAATTTTAGTTGTTAAATATAATTATTGGAAATATTCCTTAGTTTCTGTAACTCTTTCCTGGCATGCTGTGTGCTTTAATATACTAAAGTGAAAGCGAAAGTTGCTCAGTCATGTCTGGCTCTTTCGCGACCCCATGGACTGTAGCCCACCAGGCTCTTCTGTCCATGGAATTCTCCAGGCAAGAACACTGGAGTCGGTTTGCCATTTCCTACTCCAGGGGATTTTCCCGACCCAGAGATTGAACTTGGGTCTCCCACATTGCAGGTGGATTCTTGACCATCTGAGCCACCAGGGAAGCCTTATTATAAAGCCTTATACTAGAGGGTCAGGAAAGGCGTCAGGAAATAGAAGCCATGCAGGACTCTCTGAACTTCTGAGGGGAGGCATCGAGTTTAGTGGGAAGTGCAGAAGGGAAAAGGCAAGTGGATGTGGTCCCGCGCAAAAGACAGAGAGGCCTCCGGCTGGGTTTACAGACATCCCGTTCTTCATCCCTTGCTAATTTATCGTGTTATCTCTGAGTTGACTGAGGATTGATGCATATAAGGACAAATGACAGAACATGGAGCAAGCCAGAATCCCCCCATCACCAGCCCCACCTCCATATCAAGACCTCTGGGCTCCCAGTTCTCCTTCCAGTGGTTCTGGGACAGCTCTCATTGCTGCCCTGACAACGCTGAGTCAAAGGCTCATCCTTTAGTGGGGAAATGACCTCAGCCTCCTGGTTTGTACCGAAATAAGCTCAGGATAGGTATTAAAATTTTAAATGTAAAAAATGAAAACAAAAAATGAAAAAAAGCAGGGACTATTTATAGTAATAAATTGCAGTAGAGAGGGCCGTTTCAAATGTACAACCACAAAATAAAAGATAAGGTGGGCCCAGTTGACTCTGATACCAAAAGATCAGTGGTATTTTGCAGTACTTTCTATTGTGTGACATCAGAGCAAATTCACTGGGCAAGCCTGGAGGAAAACATGAAGAGTGGACAACTTAAGAAAACACTATGCCCTAGGATTTACCCCCCCCCCAAAAAAAATGAAATTCAGGGCACAAATTCTTTTGAGCACCTTTTGCATATTCTTATAAAAAGCCTGTTTGCCTTTGAAATCAGCAGATTCAAAAATGCAACTCTTTAGAGACCAAAAGGAAGTTCCTTCCATCAGACTTACCTGTGGACTAAAGTTGACAGTGATCTGCTTTGTCTCCGGGTCGCGTCTCAGAAGTGGCCGTGAAAGGTTGTACTGCGACTTCTCTGCTACTGTTTGACACCAGTCCCCATAAAGTCTTGTTTCATACCTATGAGATCAGGGACAACGGGCACCTCATAAGCACCCTCCCAGCTTCCCAACATCTGGCAATGGTTAACTGAAGATATATTTACATAGATAGATGTATATATAAAACAACATCTCTATCATTGTTGTTTAGTCACTAAGTCATGTCCTACTCTTTTGTGACCCCATGGACTGTAACCCACCAGGGTCCTTTGTCCATGGAATTCTCCAGGCAAGAATACTGGAGTGGGTTGCCATGCCCTTCTCCAGGGGATCTTCCTGGCCCAGGTATCAAACCTGCATCTCCTGCATCCTCCTGCATTGGCAGGAGGATTCTTTACCACTAAGCCAATAAGGATGCCAACCTCTCTATATCTATCTTTAATACGTATGTCTCATGAATTGAAGATGCTAATTAGTAAAATATCTGAGTACATTATGAAGTCAGAGTCATCAACTCTGCCAGGCATGACAGCTTCTACAGGTAACACCTCATTTCTAAAGGTGGCATAACTTAAATCATAGGAGAATGGAAAGAGAGGCTCCATGTGATCTTTGGGGGGATAAGGAGAGGGGCAGTTAGTCTCAGTAAATGTTGGAAGAAGTTATCGAGTAAGGTTTGCTCTCCTACTAATCTTCACATAGCTCATGGACATTCACTGTTCAGTTATTACACATTGATATACTGGGCTTGGGAGATGAAATGATGAATAAATACCCCAAGACGAACGTAGCTAGTGCTACAACCCCAGGTCAATGGAGGACACAGTGAGAACAACCCCAGGGAGAGTACAGGGCATTAGCCTTCGAGTGGCAGAGGAAGGTGAGTGGGTAGGGGTGATAGAGAGGAGGGCTGAAGTGATGGTCGGCTGAGTCTCAGAGGACGCATGGTGGTTGGGCAGTGATGGGGGAGTGAGTGTTCACAGCGAGAGCAGCAGGGTGGACTAAGGTGGAGTGAAGAGCAGCAGGCAATATGCCGTGTGCTGGGGTCAGTGAGTAGACGGTAGGTCAGAGGGAGGAGGGGGTGAGGGCCAGGACTGGACCGGGAGGCGAAGGCGACATCAGGGAGCACTTCTGCCTTCTTTCTAAAAATTTATTGGGCTGCACCAAGCCCTAGTTGTGGCATGCAGGATTAGTTGAGGCATATGAACTCTTGGTTTTGGCACGTGGGATCTAGTTCCCTGACTACAGATGGAACTGGGGCTCCCTGCATCGGGAGTGTGGAGTCCCACCACTGGGCCACCAGGGACGTCCCCGGGAGCACTTCTCATTTCACACTAAGGAGGTGACGGAGGCACTGAGAGGTTTCCCAGATGGGGGTGTGTGGGGACACGGGGTGTGGAGACAGGGGATCCGATGACGATGAGGGTGCTGAAGGACAGAGGTCCAGAGCAGGGAGGCTCCTAGGAGCTGCTTCAGTAGCTCAGGCCCAAGACCCTCTGGTCTCTGGTGAAGACATGGAGGGTGGGGACACAGAGGAGGGGGCACATTGGAAGCTAGAATTTGGGAAGTCGAAGGGACAGAACGCGGGTGACCTGGCAGGTGGGGATGACCCAGCTAATGTGTCTCCTCAATGCTAAGTGTGACCACAACTATAATCATAATTGTCACATCTACAGCCCTCCTCTCCTGAATCAGTAGAAAAGCAAGTATCAGAGAGAAGAAGCAAGACGTGGGCTGTGTCTGGACCCTGTCCCCTCAAAAGACCAGACAATTGTGGGCCCATGTAAAAGCTTCATTCTTGTGCTTCCTCCATAAAAGGACTCGGGCAGTATTTTTTTCTAACCTACTGTCTCTTCCTGCAGTGCCAACTGTCACCTTCTGCTTAGCTAGCAGCGACTGACTTCCTGGGACCCTGATCTCCAGGAGAGAGGAGGAGCTTCCCACCTCTAGTTCTGCTGAGTTAGAAAACTCACTCCCCTCAAAACTACACTGGAAAAGCACCTGTTTCGAGACTAGAGCCGCGTCCCCTGGAGACCTGGTGTTTGCGACCCAGAAGCACTGTATTCACAGGTACCGTGATTATAACATAAAACACGGAGGGACGCTTCGCTGCCGCTGGGGAACATGGACACACTCGGGACTGCATTGGACGCGGTAGAGCGGGAGGGGAGAGCGGGGGGGAGGGGGGAACGGGTGTTGGGAGAGGATTTCAGTTTACAAAAAGATCCAACCGCAGAAGCGGCTTACTTTTCCAGCAACGAGAGCGTGTCTTCGTATTTTTGTATCATGCGCTTTGCTTCGGCAGATTCCATGCAACTACCCGTACAAAAGAGAGAGAAAAAAATGACATCGAGTTAGAAGTTGAAATAATGATCTGAGTGACCAGCTGCAGCCAGCCTGTAAAGTAGAGACTGAATAGCCTCCCGGCCCAGTTTCCAAAGGCAAAGGCCCTGAATGAGCCTGCCGCTTTTCCTCCTGGACATCCTCCATTGGCCGCTAGAGGGCACGTGTGCTCCCCCAAAGGCAGGCAGCGGTCAGGTGACAGGACGGCCCCTCTCCTCCAGGGCTCCACCAGCCCCTCCGCCCTGGCCAGTCAGTCGTGCCCCGGGTACATGAACGCCTTCCAAAACTTAAAGGGAGATTGAGACACAAAAGAGAATTCTAGGTGCTGAAGTTTCCTGAATTTAAGAACAAAACTGTATATAACATTATACATTATAACAAAAACTATATAGCATTATATACATGTATGTGTATTTGTATATAACAATGCATATATAAAACAACTATGTATATACACATCCCCACATAGTTAAACATTGTTTTACACATAACTGAATATATACTTATATATTTTCTGTTCTCTGAAATCCATCTAGGACATGTAATGGGAAATTCTGCTCATTACCCATTACCATGGGTTTTTTTTGGGGGGGGGAGCTGGTGAGCGGAGGTGATTTGTGAGTTCTTTGTTTTATTAACTTATTTATTTATTTTAGGTTGCACTGGATCTTCGTTGCTTTGCATGGGCTTTCTCTGGTTGCGGCACACAGGCTTCTCCTTGCAGTGGCTTCTCTTGTTGCGGAGCACAGACTCTAGGGCACATGGGCTTCAGGAGCTGTGGCTCGCAGGCTCTAGAGCACAGGCTCAATAGCTGTGGTGCAGCTGCTATTAGCAGCTATTTAGCTTCTCTGAGGCATGTGCGATCTTCCTGGACAAGGTATTGAACCCGTGTCTCCTGCATTGGCAGGCAGATTCTTTACCACTGGCCACCAGGGAAGCCCTGCCATGTTTATATGAGGACCTCTCCCACCTCCTGCATCCCCAAACTAGAGCACATACCACACACATACACGCACACAGACACACACGTGCATATACTTGTATGCTCATGTGGGCAGACACACGCTCAGAGGCTTATTCAGGTCCACTGAGGACCACAGAGGTGCTATTACCCACACCTGCTCCCTGGTTCTGACGCTTCTTTACAACACAAAAAGAGAGTCCAGCTCCTGGGAAAGCTGAAGTGTCCGTAATTTTCAGAAACCTTCACATGAACTGTGTTGGAGGATCTTGTTTTTTCTGCTGGCAAAACGAGGCAGCTTATTGCAAAGATTCTTTAAAACCCATTTGCTCTTTAAGCCAACACAGGGTTTCTTCACAAGCTCCCCCGAGCTTCGATGAAAGCCCTCACGCCTGCAGAGAAAGCACTGGATTTCCTGGCTTTTTTCCCAGTCACTCGATTCCCTTTCCTGGCGAAGGAGCAGAGGTGTCTGCAGGGCAGCGAGGACCAGGGGGTGGGTTCAGACCAGGTGCGTGGGTTCAGACCAGCCCTCCCCTCATGAGCCCTGGGGTTTCCACAAGTCTCCTGACCCCAGATCTAAGTTTCTACCTGAGGAAGAATGAAGCTACTTGGGACCCCGAAATCCCACTACTGGGCATATACCCAGAAAAAAACATAATTCAAAAAAAGATATATTCACCCCATTGTCTACTGCAGCAGTATTTACAATAGCCAGGACATGGAAGCAACTTAAATGTCCATCAACAGAGGAACAGATGAAAATGATGTAGTACATAGATACAATGGAATATTACTCAGCCATAAAAAGGAATGAAATGGAGTCATTTGCAGAGAGGTGGACGGACCTACAGACTGTCAGATAAAGTGAATGAAGTCAGAAAGAGCAAAATATTGAATATTAATGCAAATATGCACAATCTAGAAAAATAGAAAAGATCATCTTATTTGCAAAGCAGAAATAGAGACACAGATATGTAGAACAAACATGTGGATGCCAAGGGGCCGGGGGGGTGGTGGTGAGATGAATTGGGAAGTTGGGATTGACATATACACACTAGTGACACTGTGTATAAAATAGATAACTCCTGAGAACCTACTGTGTAGCACAGGGAGACTTACTGGGTGCTTTGTATGGGAAATGGGAAAGAAATAAAAAAGAGGGGATATATGGATACCCATAGCTGATTCACTGTGCTATACGGCAGAACCTGACACAGCAGTGCAAAGCAACCAATCTAAAAAAAAAAAAAGGAACACGTTTAGAGGTGAGAGTGGCTTCTCACACCTCAGCCCCTGTGACTCCCCTAGCAGGCTGGAGAAGCCGCAGGAGTAAGTGCATCAAACTCCCTGTAGATTCTGCTTTACTTCCTGGTGAAGAGTTGACAAACCAGCTCATAAATATATGATAGAGTATATACACAAATGTGAGTTCATAATGAAAACCAACGGAGACTTTCATGGAAGAAGTGGAGGATGCCACGGGGTGCCAATCAGATGCCCTCATTGGGACCACCCGCCACCCCTGATCTCCCTTCACCAGGAATTTGGGGTGCTTGTGACACCTCCCTCTTTGGGAACAGCCTCAGCCAACCAGACAGAACTGTCTCCTCTCCCAGGGCCACCCCCCCACACACACCCCACAGCCACTTCCAATGACCAGCTGATGTAGGACAGAGGCCAGACAACCATAAGGGGTCAGACCTCCCCCCTGGACAGGCTGAGGCCTGCAGGCAGCCGAGCTGCAGCGCAGCTCCTCCTCTGCCTGGTTCCCGCCCCTCCTCGCACCCCCCGGCACCCTGCCCCGGGCACTGGTCCCTAAGGCATCCCTGTGAACTCCCGCACGCAAGCCTCAGAGTCTGCCCCAGGGCACTAGACCAGCACAGCTCCCGCAGGACACATTCCCAGACAAAGCCCTGCCACCCTCCCTGGCTGTCCTCATATCTTCTCCCTCCCACCTTGCGGAGGCATACTGGAGAAGACGGGGGCTCAGTTGCACTCTGGACCAAGCTCCCTGTGACTGGAGGAGCCCCCGGGGACAGTTCTGGGCAAGGACCCCTGGGACTCAGATGCCTGTTCCATTTCTGTCTTTGTTCTTTCTGGACTCCAGGCAGGTCACCTAACTTCCATCTGCTTCAGTGTCCCCGTCTGCAAAACGAAGAGCTCCTGCAGACAGAGTGGATGCAGTAGACGGATCTCCCAGTGGGCAGATGTGACCCACAGGCACGATGGCTTGACTAGTACTGAGTTTGAAAAAAAGACGAATACTTGCTGGTTCTAAAGCTGGGTGTCTCATGCTTGTGAGACAAAATTCCCATTTGTTTTAATCACGAACTCACATTTGTGTGTAATATATTTATGAACTGGCTACTAAAAGTGGTTTTGACTCCTCACCATGAAATGAAGTAGAATCTACAGGGAACCTCCAGGCTTTCAGCTTCTTTCCAACAGTTGGGAGATCTCTCCATTGCGTTGTTTCTCCTCTTGGCATTAGATGGTGTGGTGGAGGCTCCCTTCAGACCCCAGCCTGGTTTGTTTATTGTTATTTAGTCGCTAAGTCCTGTCTGACTCTTTGTGACCCCATGAACTATAGCCTGCCAGGCTTCTCTATCCATGCGATTTCCCAGTCAAGAATACTCTAGTGGGTTGCCATTTCCTTCTCCACGCAATCCTCCTGACCCAGGATTGAACCCACATCTCCAGTGTTGCAGGTGGATTCTTTATCACTGACCCACCAGGGAAGCCCTTGGCCAGCAGCTGCCTGATTGCTATGACCTGAATGTTTGTGTCCTCCCCAAGTTCAAATGTCGAAGCCTAAAGGGAGGCCTTTAGGAGGAGATTAGGTCACAGGGCAGATCCCTCACAAATGGGATGAGTGCCCGTATGAGAACTCAGACAGCTCTCGAGTCCCTCCTGCCAAGTCTGAGGACACAGTGGGAAGACGGTCATCTGTGAGTCAGGAAGCAGGTCCCCCTGAACACACACCGAATCTGCCGGCACCCAGACCATGGACTCCTCAGCCTCCAGAACTGAGAGAGCAAGATTGCTGATACTTATAAACCCACCCACCCCCCACCCCAATCTATGGTATTCCTGAATGGACTAAGGCACTGACTGATTGTTGAAAATGGAAAGAAAAGAAGATGATCTTCGTGCCTCAAGGAAGTGAGTTAAGTTGCTATGATGCCTGAAATCCAGAGAGACAGCGGAAGTGTGGAATGAACCTGTGTTTCAGGAACGGGGTACTCACGGGTGTGTCATGCGTCTAAAGTTGTCGAAGGGACCCTGGATGCGCTGCCTCAGCTCCCGTGCCCAGCGGAGGCCCCCAGCCACAGCGGGCATGTTCTTGTGCACGGCGGAGAATCCTGGGGACAGGGCACAGCAGACTGAAGCGAGGCTCTGGCCCTGAGCCCCACTCTGCTCACCAACAACCCCCTGTATCACGGGGGTGGTCCCACACATCATAGAGATGGTCCCAAACGTCATGGGGAGAGCCCCACGTAAAGCTGAGGCCAACAGAATTTCTGGATGACTTCTTCAGGGAACTCCATCCTTAACGACCTTACTGTGAAACCTGTTTATAGATACAGGGGTCCTGTTACTCCAGCACTTAAAACTTCTGAAAATTTCCCATTGCCTGAATAATGAACTCTGGATTCCCTAATAGGGTGCTCAGAGAACTTCACGACCTGGTCCCAAACTCAATGGCTGACCTGATCTCCCTGTATACCCCTCATTTGGCTGTGGGCAGGTCCGACTAGTCACCTTCCACATCCTGTTGTGCCTTTGCTTCCAAGGCCATGGCCTCTTCTCTCTGGCTGTTCATCTCCCCACCTTTCAGAGTCCAGCACGAGGCCACCATTTCCATAAACTCTCCTCCCACTTCCCAGCACAATTCATCCTGTTTTGCTACATTATCTTTTTTTTCTTGTTGTTTTGCTGTTTTCTCTTTTTTTGCCTGTGCCCCTTGGCATGTGGGATCTTAGTTCCCACACCTGGGATTGAACTCATGCCCCCCGCCCCCCCACGGTGGAAGGACACAGTCTTAACCACTGCATTGCCAGGGAAGTCCCTTGCTACAGTTCTTTATAACATTTATGCCAATTGTGTTCCTTGAAGAACCACCTTTTAGAATTAATTATTTTCTCCCTTACCCTGGCCAGCCCCTGCATGCAACGCCCACAAATGGACCTTGCAAACAGCATGGCCTCCAGAAATGTTTCCAAAGCTGAACTGAAGTGGTTGACTTTCAAACAGACAAGTCAGGGAATCTAAGAATTGCAATAACAGCGAGATGCCACACATCCGTGTGTAACTGCTCATTGTCAGATTCCTGATGGTTCCTCCAAAAGCATGGTTGATAAGGCACTGAAAGGGATGAGAACCTTTTCTCAGGCATGTGCAAATCTGCTCTGGAATTGAGGTATGTTGAAGATGAATCAGTGTGGAGACATGGATCGAGGTTCAGCTCATACATTACGCTGAGGTTTCCTCTGACCAGAGGCAGCAGACAGGACTTCACCGGTCTGGGTCAGTCTGCCAATCCTGCCCCAGACACGGGGAAATGCACAGTTCAGTGAACTCGACAATTGCTCGAGATGGTCTGGAACTTCATACAAGAAGATTGTGCTTTCGGAAAATGTCCTAGAGCTATAGCAGACATGTAACCAGAGGACCTGCGCCCTTTCTGCTAACAGATGCCCCCATCCAAGTCTCCTGGCAGCAAGCTTACCATGCTCTGCCTCCTCCTGGACATGCTGACTGTGGATCATCCTCACAGCATCCAGATCCTCACTGAACATGCGGATGAGCCCCAGGTATCTTTCAGAGGCATCCCGTGCTACCACTGGTCTCTCTAAGAGGTTTCCTGCTATGTCCAGCAGCTGCAAAAGAGGCAGAGGAAGATGGGGAAATGTCACAGACCCAAACTTTCCATCGTTACATTAATCCTCTAGCCCAGTTTTTTCCTTCATACGTCTGTCCACCAAGGTAAGAGGATCATGAATGGACAACTAAGAATTGACAGAAAAAAAAAAAAAAAGAGTTGGAAGATACTCATAGCCTGTCCATCTCATCTTTGTTTCTGAAGGAGAGATCCCTGCGTGCTGAATGACCTACTGGGCCCTTGTCTCATGTTGTGAGAAGCTGGGTAGAGGGTAACACAAAGAGAAAATGAAAGATGTCAGAAAGAGTAAGCTGATACACATCATAAAGACCTGATACAGAGATAGAGGGTGATGATGGAGAAGAAACAAGCAGTGAAGTGGGCTGGCTGTTGGGGAGAATCGGGAGGGCTAAAATTTGAGAGTGGGGGCAGGAAAAGAGTTTCAGAGAGCAGTTGCTCCCAGAAGGCAGTGGTTTCGAGGACACGTTGAAGATGCTTTCTGTGCATCATGACTGCCCTGGCCCCTTGGAAGGAACAGCGGGATCAAAATGCTGAAATGCTTCTCGTCATCTCCTGGTTGCTAGACTGTTTCTCTGATTGTGATGCTGCCCTGAGACAAGGTTAGGGCAAAGTGGATGACTTCAGTTGTGTTTAGGATACAATACATGACTTCTAGGACCACTCTGTTTTCCAACCCCAAATCACCCAGATCCCAGGAGACAGCAGAAAGGAGCTCTCCCTCCACGGAGGCATAAGCAAGCAGGTCTCCACTGATTTCTGGCTCAGACATCCTGCTGGGAGGTACAGAGGGGTGGGCCGAGGGACCACTGCAGCCAGCCTGCACCCTCTAGCTGGGTTCTCTGACCCGGACAGACTGCTTGGGGCCACATCCTTTGAGGCACAACTAGTGGTCGGATGGTCTTACAGCAGTAACAGGGTATCTGGACTCAGGGGATCTCTCTGTCCCTACTCCTCATCCTGAAAAGGCACTTCTTTGCATGAAATTATGAACACAGGAGCTTTTGTTTGAGCTAAAGGAGGAAGGAAGGGCTTTGGTTTCTTGTTGGTGAGGTGACTTCAAAGAGAAAAACCAAGCAGGCAGAAGGGACTGAATGGCTGCGGGTCTCCTACATGGTGCATAGGCTGGGTGGGGAGCTTGGTGAGAAGAGGAGTCAGAGGCCAAAGAAAAAGGGCCTGCTTCTGTGAGAGTCCTCTGAGACTCAGGGTGTGAGCAATGCTGCTTCAGGACCTGGAAGTAAAGGGTATGCAAACCTGGAAAGGCTTTGCTCTGTTTCTGCCCAGAATCTTGCTCCATCACAAAGGGCAAGGATTGGAGTTTTGGGAACCCAGAGAAACATACCTTTGGCATAAACAGAAATGCTGTCATGGTGGGGATCATCAGGACAGCAATAATAAGATCCCGAAAGCACCTTACTGAGCAGAGGACATTTTTAAGGGAGACTGTAGACAAAGACATTGTAGACAAAGACGATGTCAAAGACAGAGCAACTTGAGAGTGTATGTGAGATCCTTGAAGACATCTTGAAATTTGTGGTGCACAAGGATTTACCGAAGAGATGGCACTGGACATCCTCAAGGTAGAAATGGGGTTCCAGTGTCACCAGTTACCTGAGTGCTAACATCCCAATTAGCCCAATTAGTGCTAAGTCACTTCAGTCGTGTGCAACTCTCTACGACCCTATGGACCATAGCCCGCCAGGCTCCTCCATCCATGAGATTCTCCAGGCAAGAATATTGGAATGGGTTGCCATGCCCTCCTCCATGGTATCTTCCTGACCCAGGGATTGAACCCATGTCTCTTACATCTCCTGCATTGGCAAATGGATTCTTTACCACTAGCACTACATGGAAGTCCATGGTAGTATGATTATGACATAATGGCAAATATTACTATTATTGTTTTATATAAGCCCTTCTCTTGAAATTAAATAGTTGGAGAAATTCTAAAATGATTCCTATGTGAGTTATGGAGTAGCAGGTATGGAATACATATATATATTCTTGAGTGAATTAAATATATATGTACCCAGTGTTCTAGAACATCATAGACTCACCATCCTGGGGTTAAGCCTCTTCTGTGATTGTCCCATCAGTTATCCAGTCTGTGGACATGTTCAGTGCCTGAAAACTTAGCTACCTCTCTAGGAAGTTTATTCCATCTTTAAATAGCGTTAGCAGAGATCAGTTCCTTCTTTTGAGCCAAAATCTGCCTCCCCATAACCTGATTAGTCCTGGTTCTAATCCTTCAGGCTTTACAGAGTAAGTTTCTTCATAGTTTGTGGAAGACCTGCTCTGTTTCCCTAAGCCTTCAGGTCTCAGGACCAGATTGCTCATTTCTGGAGTCATTTATCTACTCATCATCCTGAACTTCCTCCTGCACATTCCTGCACCATCTGATTTGGGCAACACAGGGCAAGGGTCCACATCTTCTTATTCTAGTTACTCATGTTTCAGTGGTTTGCTTCAGCCTGAATTGACCTGAGGGCTGTTAAAACAGCCTTGGTGACCACAGGAGGCTTCTTCACTTTTAATAGGCACCCAGGTTACAGGTAAGGCCCAAAGACAGCAATCCAGAAGAAATTCAATTACAAGGTATTTTTATATCATCAAGTTTGCAGAAAAGCCTGAGCCATCAACTTGAGAAGCCCAGTTTGGCAAACTCCAGGCTCCCTCGCCCTGGGACACCCACAGTACTGCTTCTACTAGACCAACAGCAACAATTCCTCTCTGCAGGAACAAAACAGTTGGAAGTGTATGCTTCTCCCCATCTGAGAGGGCAGGGAGAGTGAAGAACTGCTGGGGAAGGAGGGGGTAGCTCCCCCTCCTGTACAAACCTTGAAGGCATGCTCCAAGCCAGGGGCGTCATCGAAGGCCTGAATAAAGACAGTCCCCAGCCTCCTGTCAAGGTCTTCTACTCTCTGATTAAAGTCAGAGATGTCATTTTCAAATTCCTGAGGAGACAGCAAATGGACATAAGAAAACATGATTTTCTGAAGGACAATCCCAGAATGCTTTTTCCTATTAATCTGTCACACCAAGGATATATTTTGATTTTCTACAGTTCACTATGGTGTGCCCCAGTGTTTATCCACATAGACAGTTGCCCTATTATTGCAGCATTTTTCTCCTAGACTCTCTAGTATTAGCGTGCGCTAGTCACTCAGTTGTGTCCGACCCTTTGCAATCCCCATGGACTGTAGTCTTCCAGGCTCCTCTGTTCATGGAATTCTCCAGGAAAGAATACCAGAGTGGGTTAGCCATTCCCTTCTCCAGGGGATCTTTCCGACCCAGGGATCAATCAAACCCACATCTCCTGCATTGCAGGTGGATTCTTTACTGTCTGAGTCACTTGAGGCAAAATGGTAAAGAGTCGGAGGTGAGGCTGGTACCCTGTCCCTCTCCCATGTCCCCACTTCCAGCTCCTGCAGCCCCTTCTCTCTCACCTGCGGCACCAGCTCAGGCCGCCCTGAAAGCCACCGTGGCAGCAACAGCCCCAGCAATGGGGCTACTTCATCACTACCCCTGACTTCCCTTCCTCCCTCAAGTGAAAATCCTCTTCTCTTCAGTGTAAACGAACTGCTACGGCTATTAGGAGAAACGTAAGCTAATTTAACAACTACACACTATTTCTTCTAAATACATTTAATTGCTTAAGACAGCAGCTAGCCATTGTCCCCACGGTTGCCAAATTTAGCAAATAAAATTACAGGACACCCGTTAAATTTAAATTTCAGATCAACAATGAATTTTTTTTTTTTTTTTAGTATAAGCCTGTCCCAATTAACTGTATTTTATTCAGCAACACAGAGCATGCTCTTTCTTCGAATGTAGCAACTTTCAGAGAACATTGATTTTCAGAGAAACATCTCTAATTTGTGAAATTATTATGTCTTATTATTGCTTTAGTGTAGCTATGCATACTTTTATGAAAAGATAAAGAAAAGTAGGAAAACATAGTAGCATTTCTCTACTTCCCAAACCCAACTATACTAACATTGGAGCACACTTCTCTCTGTACAGGATTTTGTTTTGTATTGTTTTATCACATGGTAGAAAACATACAGTATAGATCCTGATTTATATGCCAACTTTTTTTCTACTTTAAACTAACAGAACTTTTAGAAAGCTCCATTTCCTGGGTTTGGCCAGCTAAGATCCCCCTAGACAATGGAAGGGGGCTCCCAGATGGCTCAGTGGTAAAGAATCCACCTGTCAGTGCAGGAGATGTGGGTTCCATCCTTGGTCAGGAAGGTCCACCGGAGGAGAAAACGGCAACCCACTCCAGTATTCTTGCCTGGAGAATTCCAAGGATAGAGGAACCTGGTGGGCTACAGTCCATGGGACCGCAGTCAGACACAACTGATGACTGAGCATGAACGCAGACATTGGAAGGTGCTCAGAACAGATTCTTGCTCAACTGCTTTTTCCTTTTCCCTCAAATACTCTAAAATTCCTTCTCCAGTACTTTAGCATTCCCTTCTCGGGGAACTCCATTCCCCGTTTCTGTACTGACCCTTTTGCTTCTTTTGGTTCCTGCAGTCTTAGACTCACTGGTCTCAGCTCTCCTGCACTACAGGTGGGATGTGGACTCCTGGGTCCTGATCCTAGAAAATGCAGTGTTGGCCCTTGCCTCATCCTGAGGTCTCTCTTGGGAACTAGAGTCTGATCAGAAAACTGGGCTACTGCGCCACTTGCCCCTCTGCAGGCCACTAATGAAATTCTGCCTGGGTGTGCCTGGCCTTCTCACAGCAGGTGCTGCTGCAAGCTTAAAGTGGCTGCAGCCTCCACCATCACCCCATCTCCATCGCAGCATCTCTGAAACCCTGGGTATCTTCAGTCCGAAGAAGTCAGCAGTTGGAAAACACCCTCCCCTGACTTCTCTCCGGACAGACAGGATAATTAAGGGTGGTCTCTGCCGATAAAACCATGGGGACCACAGAGCCAAAGAAAATGCACAGAGGAAATCCAAGTAAATACCCAGGGTAGAGACTGCAGGCATCTGAGAAAAAGAGACAAATCTTGCAAGGTAGCCCTTCCAAGCCCTACCACGCTTTGGAGATCCAAGCAGTCGTAGGAAGACTCTGAGAAGACCCTGTACATTTCTTGAAACTCGGTGTACATCTGCTGGGCCTGCTGGCTCAGGGCACTCCCTCTGATACCACTGAACTCAAGCTTTCCCAGTTTGTGGAAATCCAAAGTTGTCTTCAGAAGATCCTGTGAAGACAATTTGCAATGGAATTAAGATAATGAGGATGATAACAACAGTGGATGATGCGCAAATTGGTATAGGAAGGGATGAAAATTATATGGGGGTGGCGGTTGCTTAGGAAAATGTGAAGCTTGATTAGTTTTGTAACCTTATTATTAGATTGGGCTGATATAAATAACTCTTGGTGACACGCGATAACAAAGAGAAAATTCCAATAAATAAAATTTACTCGCACACAAAAACCAAATTTATGCTTCAACCTTCTCCTGTGTTCTCTCATAAATAATAAAATACAATAATAACACTAATTACATGGCTGGTGGCTTTATTCCCATTTAGGAAACCAATTTTAAATGGACCGTGTTGTGTGGTTCCAGAATGACGGCTGTCTTGGTAGGTGCTGACAGGAAAGTGGATCTTCTGAGTAGTCCTGAGGACAAGCTCAGAGGTGGCGCCAACATTCTCAGCAACGACTTCTGCCAAGAAAAGACACATGAGGGGTGCCCTTGCTGGGCATACCTGGGACCGTAGACCCTGTGGCCGGCTGGGTGGTGGTGGGTGGCGACCCAACATCTTTGCATTGGGACAACAACAGTGAGAGTGAATCAGGTCAGTGCAGGCTCAGGACGGCACCCAGTAAATAGGCAGTGAGTGCGTGTGCCTGTCACCATTGACGTGGCAGTTCCCAGCAGGGCTCTGGGTCAAGTGACAGGTGACAATACAACCTAGAGCCCCAGGGGCGTGATGCTGCTTGAGTCCATCGAGGATGCTTCACTTCTGATAGGATAGGAGCCTTCACGACATCTGTGACTCTGCATCTAACTTATCTATCATGACTACCCATTGAAAATCACAAAGTCTCTAAATCAAGGCATTCTTCCTGCTGTACCTTCCAATCTGTGTGCTTAGCTCTTCAGTAGCAAAGAGGGAGATGGGGGTACCTTTGTGTCATTTTGGCAAACATGTGACATGGACCCCTGGGAGGCAGTCCTCCACCCTGAGGATATTTGAAGGGCAGTAAGAGGGAAAAGTGACCCAAGGCTGGAAACCCAGCAGGTCCTGATATCATTCCAGGGAATGCCCATATCACTGGCCACTGCTCTGGGCTAACCCATCTGGATAGCAGGGGGCAGCCCATCTCTTGCTTCTCACCAAGACACCAAGCCCAGCAGCAGAGACAGAGGCACCAGGAAGTTGTGAGAAGTGGCTGACTTTTCCTGCATTTTCAGGTGGGTACCCATCCTTGCAGCCATGGGCAGCCATGGATGCCCCCTTTCTGCTCAGCTAGGCAGAGTACATCATGAGAAACACTGGGCTAGATGAAGCACAAGCTGGAATCAAGATTGCCAGGAGAAATATCAATAAACTCAGATATGCAGATGACACCACACTTAACGGCAGAAAGCGAAGAGGAACTAAAAAGCCTCTTGATGAAAGTAAAAGAGGAGAGTGAAAAAGTTGACTTAAAGCTCAACATTCAGAAAACTAAGATCATGGCATCTGGTCCCATCACTTCATGGCAAATAGATGGGGAAACAATGGAAACAGTGAGAGACTTTATTTTGGGGGGCTCCAAAGTCACTGCAGATGGTGACTGCAGCCATGAAATTAAAAGAGGCTTGCTCCTTGGAAGAAAAGCTATGATCAAACTAGACAGCATATTAAAAACCAGAGACATTACTTTGCCAACAAAGGTCCATCTAGTCAAAGCTATGATTTTTCCAGTAGTCATGTATGGATGTGAGAGTTGGACTAAAAAGAAAGCTGAGTACTGAAGAATGGATGCTTTTGAACTGTGGTGTTGGAGAAGACTCCTGAGAGTCCCTTGGACTGCAAGGAGATCCAACCAGTCCATCCTAAAGGAAATCAGTCCTGAATATTCATTGGAAGGACTGATGCTGAAGCTCCAATACTTTGGTCACCTGATGCAAAGAACTGACTCATATGAAAAGACTCTGATGCGGGGAAAGACTGAAGGTGGGAGGAACAGGGGACGACAGAGGATAAGATGGTTGGATGGCATCACCTATTCAATGGATATGAGCTTCAGTGGACTCCAGTGATGGACAAGGTGGCCTGGCATGCTGCAGTCCATGGGGTCGCAAAGAGTCGTACACGACTGAGTGACTGAACTGAACTGAACTGATGAGCTGGGGGCTGAACTGGGAGAAAGGAGGAGGAAGAAACAGCCAAGTGAAAGAACATGTATACCTAAACCAGGAGATCCTGCCAAGGATGGGGAAAGGGGATAAGCTTTATTTAAACACACGTTTGACTTTGTATGCAGGGAGGAAACAGCAGTCAACTTGATTCAAATGAAATGGACTTTAGTAGTAATTTGAGTCATTTTGATAGGAGAAATGTACTGTGCTTGTGCTGTGGAATGTCACCTGGGTACCCATTTTTCATAAGTTTGTGGATGTTAATTTCAATATTTAAGAGGTACCATCTAACCACTTTAAAAGACAGATGCATTTTGATGTTTTGATTATGTAAAAAAACTAGATGACAATTTTGTTATACTTTATTTCTCAAGAATTCTTGAAGCACAGTCCTGGGTGGTCACTGAAAGTTGCTTCATTTTCAATCTAACAGGTATATCACAGATATTGCTGTTTAGTCACTAAGTCATGTCCAACTCTTCTGTGACACCATGGACTGTAGCCCGCCAGGCTCCGATGTCCATGGGATTTCCCAGGCAAGAATGCTGGAGTGGGTTGCCATTTCCTTCTCCAGGGGATCTTCCAGACCCAGGGTTCAAACCTGCATCTCCTGCATTGGCAAGCAGGTTCTTTACCACTGAGAGACCAGGGAAGCCCCAAAAGAATACTTACATAATCATTCTATTTTTGGAGAAACTCTGGTCACTAGAAACAATGGATATTTATGTTGCTTAACAAACACATGATGGACAATACATTTATTTAGGGTTCAGTTCAAGGTCTTAATCCTTTCCTTACACCTCCCCCAATAAAAGAGACTCTTCCCCACTTTTCTTCTACACTCTGTATGCCCTTCTCCTGCATAAACTTTTCTTTAGAACTCTTAATCACTCTCTGGCATTATAATATGATATCTGGGATTACATTATATTGTTTATTTCCTATCCACCTTTCTCAGTAGGTTGTAAACACCCCAGAGATCCCACTGTATTCTCCATCCCTGGAAGAGTCCCAGATGCTGAAGAAATATTTGTTGAATGAAGGAAGATGTCATTTTGACCTTGGACTTAGCGACAGTACCTCCAGGAGAAGGTGACAGGGTGGTAGAGACTCTAGGAACATTGGACTCAGAGCAATTAGATAAAATAAAGAGAACTAGACAAGAACAGAGAATGAGGAAGCAAGGCAAAACTGTGCCTTTGAGTGTTTGATGAGCTGAGGTCAAGTGCAAAGCAGAACCTGGCATGGCCCTGAGCTGAGGGCAGAACTAAGGAAAGTAAGTGAACAGGGCAAAGCAGAAGATCTGGGGTCAACCTGTAGGCTGAACTTACAAAGTTTCTGATTTTTGACCATATTGACCTACAAGAAATGGCAGTTTCGTGTGGTTGTACTCCACGAAACAGAACCATCTCATGCCTGGAAAGGTCCAGCCATACACTGGGCTGCTAAGAGAGGTGGTGAGCTCCCCAGACCTGGGTGGATTTCACAGCTCTCTTTTCTGCTGCACTATGGAGCAGGTGGGTGTCCCAGGTCGTGCCATGGTAAAGAACCTGCCTGACAACGTAGGTAGATGTAAGAGACTCGGGTTCTATCCCTGGGTTGGGAAGATCCCCTGGTGGAGGAAATGGCAACCCACTCCAGTATTCTTACCTGGAGAATCCCATGGACAGAGAGAAGCCTGGAGGGCTACAGTCCATAGCATCGCATAGAGCTGGACACAGCTGAAGTGACTTAGCAGGCAGCATGTGGGATCTTAGTTCCTCAACCAGGGACTGAACCCATGCCCCCTGCACTGGGAGATCAGAGTCTTAATCACTGGACCGCCAGGGAAGTCCCTCTGGGTGGATTTTAAAAGTCTGATTTCATGTCACAGAGGAATCATAAAGAAGATTCCTGTATCAGGCAGGATGTCGAATCACAATTGTAGAAACAGACTTACAGAAATCATGGTGACTATATCTTTGGTTCTTAAAATATTTAAATGTAAGCTCCTTCCATTGTTTATTTAGAAGTCCTTACAAAACAGATAAAAGGCCATTTAAACCCATGAGAGATTTAGATTAAATTTTTAAAATATTCATTTTTATCCATCACCGTTGTAAACACACAAAATCCATGATGTTGTATTCAGGCTGAAAATGTCAAGGTCAGGGGTAGGACACAGGGCGTCATGCGAGGAATGCTGGGGCACAGATCCCTGGGTTCACACAGCCCTGTTCTACCACTCACCAGCTACGTGGCTTAAAGCAAGACACTTAATTTTTCTAATCCTCCTTTTCCTGACCTGCAGATGAGTTACAAGGGAAGTGACTTTGTACAACTTTAATAAACGGTGTGTGTGCGCGCTGAGTCACTTCAGTCATGTCCAACTCTTTGCGGCCCTATGGACTGTAGCCCACTAGGCTCCTCTGTCCATGGAATCCCCCAGGCAAGAATACTGAAGTGGGTTGCCATTTCCTCCTCCAGGGGATCTTCCCTACCCAGGGATTGAACCCGCATTCCCTGTGACTTCTGTATTACAGGCAAATTCTTTACCTACTGAGCCACTTGGGAAGCCCTCAATAAATGATGAAAAAAAAAGTTGAAGTGCAGTCACTCAGTCATATCTGACGCTTTGTGACGCCATGGACTGTATAGTCTGCCAGGCTCCTCTGTCCATGCAATTCTTTAGGCAAGAATACTGGAGTGGATTGCCATCTTCCTCTCCGAGGGATCTTCCCGACCCAGGGATTCATCCTGGGTCTTCCATATTGCAGGCAGACTGTCTGAGCCAGCAGGAAGCCCTCAATGAACATAGGCCCTGTAATTAATTAGCATCACCCCAATGTCATTAGATCAGGCTA